GATTAAAATAGACCAGTTTTGGCAGATCATTGCAGGGGTTTAGTGATTTTTTTTTTGTAATTTCAAAAGTGTACTTAAAAAACAAAAGGAGCGATTGCAATCAACTCATTTTTGCATTAGTTAATCCTTAGTGCACTGATACAAACAGCACTTACGTGAATAATTTTTTTTTCAGGGACTTTATTGTGACATTCGTCAACTTGTTCAATTCATCAAAGAGGCTCATGGCAATGTTTTTAGAAGGGTGGCACTAAGCGCTCTCCTTGATAGTGCAGACAAGGTAACACCTGGCAAAAAACCCGAGGAAACTGAAGAAAAGAAAGTGTCAGTCAGCAAAAGGTATGTGATAGTTACAGCTTCAGTTTGATTTTTTTTTGTGTGGCTGTGTGCTTGTCTGACTAATCATGCAATTATATTTTAAAGAGGCAGAATAGACAAATACTGATTATATCCAGGGAGAGAGAAGTGAGGAGGTGCTGTGCATCAGTACAGTGACATTACATGTATGACCAAATTATATTATGATTGCTCTTCGTAATTCCCAGAGACTTCTCTGCCACTATGCCCCATTAAAATCATGGTATTCATGAACTGTTGGATTTAACGTAGTGTTCATTCCGTTTCAGCTTGGACTGAAAACCAAGTTAACAAGAGACCTGATAGAAATGTGATTTCTTTATTTCAAATGATTGCATTTGATACCTTGTTATTTGTGCCATGTATAAAAGTTAAATTGGAAGAGAATTCTGAACCTAATCTCAAAAAATCAATTCACAGATAATACTACTTCCAGTTGGAGAACAGGGATCAACCAGGCACCATATAAATTGTCAATCAAAACATTCTGATTATTTTACAACATTTGTCATTGTAATAATTCCCATCATAATAAGTATTAGTGTAGCGGAATATTACCCATTACTTCACAAATTTTATTTTGCACTTGAGTATTGGCAATTAATAATGTAATCATACATTATCTACTATATAAGAGGCCATTTTTACCTATTCTCCTATTGGTGTTCCTGCGCTGCTCATGGAGATATGCATTTGAATCCATTCAGTTGTGTTAGGCAACTCAGCGGAAACTCTGGTTCAGTTTTCTTATTAGATTCATTGATAAAGATTGTCAATGGCTTGAGGCTCGAGCACTAATCCTTCTGGATCCTAGCTACAACTTGCCATCCAAAGATTATCTGTTTGTTCTGACTTAACCAAACCTCAATTTGTGCTAACATATTACCCATAATTCCATGACTCCTACCATCTGTATAACTTCTCGATTACCAACTTATCAGTTCTTTGTCTAGAATCCAAATCCATGACATCCATTGGTTCGTCCTTATCTAAACTGTTAGTTGCAACCTCAAGAAAAACTCAATAAATTTGTCGAGCAGAGATCCTTGTGGTCCCACACAGATTTCAACCTACTAATCTGATAATGGCACATGTGCTTGTTAAGGCAGCCACACCTAGATCCATACTGATTGATTATTTCCAACCTCATGAGCCCTTACTTTGTGTTGTAACTTTTTGTGTGATATCGTATTGGATACATTTTGAATATCCAAATGCATCACGTCTTCAGTTTGTACTTGTGTATGGTAATTTGAGTTTGGTTCGTTGCAGAGTTGAAGGAGGATTAAGCACTGATAAAGCTCAGGTCTCAGCAGCGCCAGATGAATGCCGAAGTATGGTCTCCAGTCGTCCTCCTCAGACTCCGGAACAGTGAGTGATATTGACTTGCTTACCTTTTTTTCCTTATCCCTCACACACCAGAGCAGTATCCCAAAGGTAGAATGTTCCTTTCAGGTATTTCTAAAGGCTTTATTACTTGTACCTCTCCAATATTTTTTTGTTCTTTTCATGTGAAAGAACATTCCATTATTCTACTCATTTGATCTAAGTCCATAGAGGTTTAACAGCATAGAAATAGGCCCTTTGGCCCAACTTGTCCATGATGCCCAGCTTTCACAATTAAACTAGTCCAATTTGCCCAAGTTTGGTCCTTATCCCTCCATACCTATCCCATCCATGTACCTGTCCAAATGTTTCTCAAATGATAAAATTGTACTCGCCTCCACCACTACCTCTGGCAGTCCATTCCAGACACTCTCTATCCACTGTGTGACAAAAGAAATGCTCCTCTGGACACTTTTGTGTCTCTCCCCTCTCACCTTAAACCTATGCAATCTACTTTTAGACTCTCCTACCATGGGAAAAAGCTGTTGGCTATCTAACTTATCTATGCTTCTCATGATTTTATAGACCTCAGTCTCCTACACTCCAGAGGGGAAAAAAAAGTCCCAGCCTATCCAGCCTCTCCTTATAACTCAAACCTTCCAGTCTAGGTAGCATCCTAGTAAATCTTTTCTCCACTCTTTCATTTAATAATATCAATACCAATAATAACTGCAAGAGTGAGGTTTGTACAAGATGTGTGCTGCACTGTATCTGAATGAAAGTTTTGCTTTATTTTTATGTTTGCATTTGAGGTTGTCGGCTTGCTCGCCGAGCTGGCTGGTTATCATACAGATGTTTCGTCATCATGCTAGGTGACATCATCAGTGTGGCCTCCGATGAAGCGATGTTGTTCTACTCCACTTGGTATTTGGTAAATAGCTTGCCAGCTCGGCGAGCAAGCCAACAACCTCGTTCACACCCCGAGCTACAGATCTTCGCAAGAACCTTAAATATTTGTATTTGGCTTAATCGAGTATGGTGGTTGAGCTAAACGATCACTAATGTAATCATTTTTGGTTTGATTGTAACAATATGGAAAATTGGGAGTATTGTTGATAGTGAGGAAGATGGTCATGGGCTACAGAAAAGTTGATCAGCTAGTATGGATACAATTACAAAGTTTAAAAGACATATGGATAAGCCCATGAATAGGAAAGGTTTGGAGGGATATGGGCCAGGAGCAGGCAGGTGGGACTAGTTTAGTTTGCGATTATATTTGGCATGGACTGGTTGGATCGAAGGGTCTGTTGCCATGCTGTATGACTCTATGACTCTAAGTGCAGCTGGAATGCAATTTGAGAAATCAAATAAGGTACGTTAGGAAAGAAAAATGATGGAATGTAGCTCATTTTTTAAAAAAAATGGTAAGAGTCAAAGGGACAATGCAGGTTTATTTGTTGATTTTATTATCACTAAAAAATTGCATTGCTGTTACTATTACAGTTTTTATATAATTCTGAGCTACGTTCTTTATACTTGTATCTATTATGATCAGCAAAATATTTATCTTTAAATGAATTCCTCTGCAAATCTCCCTGTTTAGTCTATTAGTTTGAATCCTCCATTATATCTTAGGCATATAGAAGACTTCTTTGATCGTTGGCATAAACTAAACTTTAATTTTCTTTTGTATTGTTACAGTCACATTATAGTGTACATCAACATGTATTCCCAAATTTTCTTTTATACATGTAAACAAGATACTAACAAATTATTGGTAGCATTATTTACCACACCAGCTTAAATCTAACAATGCATGATCACAGTTTCCAAAATGTTCACCTCCACATGAAGAACAAATGTCAGATTAAATTCATATATTGTACGAAATCAAATAACTAATCGTTAATGCTCTCCCAATGAGATTGATTTAAAAATAAAACAAGCAGAACAACTCATTTGTCAATGTCAAATAATTCATTTTTTGGCCCCCACTGAACATCATTGTGAAGTACCAGACAAGTGCCTGTGGATAAATCCTGCCTCCAAACAATGTCACTCTATAAAATTAAGTCAAATAATATGAATTAGGAGCAGGACAAGGCCATTTAGACCATGCTGATCCGTCTGTGGCCTTAATTCCACATCTCTGCCTCCCTGCAATAACCATCAAAAAATGCTGGAAATGTTTGATCTGTTCAACTTCTCTTCCGATTTGATTTATCCTTTTACACTTGCTGCTTTGAAAGCCTATAACAAAGGTTCAGGGCCAGCTTTGGATCAAAGCTGCACAAAAATTGTTTGTCTGTCTTATTGAGCAATATGTTCACTTTCTGCTACAGTTATGTTCTCTTTCACAAAATAAAGCTCTTCTTGTTTTTTTCTTCCTTTCTTTTGCAATCATTTATTTTAACAGAATTCATTGTGCCTCACTCAGCTGAAATTTATTTCCACTATCATGATACAATTAACTTCCAAAGCTTCTTAAATGATTTAATTTCTCCATAGAACCATAATTTCATATTTCAGCATCTTGTTCATTGTAACTTCGGGAGCGAGGGATTGGGAGGGAGCGAGTGAGCAAGGGACGGATCGAGTGAGCGAGACGCATGAGCGTAAAAGATTTCAAAGAATAGCATTAAGAATAAATGTCACTAATATTTTAAAGATAAATCCTGAGGTGCCTGGAAAAGTGGTAGAGTCATGAGAACAAATATTAGGCAAGGTGGCTGAGTAGTGACACCAGATTTTCCATGGTTTTTCCTGCTTTTAAACTTCTCTTTAAACAGTTCCAACAGCTGCTGCAGACGGAAACCACTTTTCAGGTTGAGGCTTCTTTTAAGTCGTCCCAGCTAGCTTAAATAGTGATGATTTCACATTAAATGGTGCAGCTCCTGAAATGAGCAATCACTTAACAGCACATTTAGCTTCCATCTCTGCGATCAATTCTGAGGTCGCTCAAACCAAGCCCTCAAGCTGTCATAAATCAAAATTCTTTTCATGACAGTTTTTTGCATGCAATGCACGTTGGTGAAATAAAGTGTCCTAGCATTTGAATGTACTGATCTCTTGCATGACTTTGAATGTGGTGGCTTTGATGGAGTGTTTGTTAATAGAATATTGTCTATGCCTTTTTTTTTTAAAATGAATGCAGCGAAGAACAAATTCCAGGAGCTCTTTTGGGTCGAAAAGACTTTTGGCGCAAAATGTTTAAATCTCAAAGTGCTGCAAGCGACACGAGCAGCCAATCTGAGCAGGATACCTCTGAATGCACAACTGCTCATTCTGGAACCACCACAGACAGACGCTCACGGTCACGGTCTAGAAGAATTTCTCTCAGGAAAAAACTGAAACTTCCAATAGGTAGGTTCTCAGTGACTCTCAGACACAATGTCCAGCATGGTGACAGGTATACAATGGGACATGGGGGTGTATTGCTATAAGTACATAAAGCATATCTAATAAATATCGGCTGGGAGAAAAAAAAAATTCGTGATATTAAAATTCTGCCATAAGAAAATTTGTAATAAAAGACCAACTTCAAATAAAGTAATCTTGTGCACAGAATTTATCACAGAATGGTAGGGATGAGATTGCAGAATACTTGGAAGTGCATGATAAAATAGAGCAGAATCAGCAAGGGGAGGTCATGCCTGACAAATTTGTTCTAATTATTTGAGGAAGTAATGAGAAAGTTAGACAAAAGAGAGCCAGTGAACATGATTGGTTTGAATTTCCAGAAAGCCTTTTGACAAGGTGCCGCCCAGGAGGTTGCTAAATAAGATAAGAGCTCATGGTGTTAGGGACAAGGTACTGGAATGAACAGAGGATTGGCTGGCAAGCAGAAGGCAGAGAGTAGTGATAAGGGGATCTTTTTCAGGAAGGCACCTAGTGATGAGTGGAGTTCTGCAAGGGTCCATGCTGAGAGCACAAGATATAGGAGCAGAATTCGGCCATGTCTGTTCTGCCACTCGATCGTATCTGACATGTTTCTCAATCCCATTCTGTGTCTTCTCCCTGTAATCGTTGATCCCCTTACTATTGGAGAATCAGGTCAGATATCACACAACACCAGGTTATAGTCCAACAGGTTTATTTGAAGACACAAGCTTTTGGAGTCTCACTCCTCTTTCAGGTGTCAGTGATAGAGAGGTGGCATTGGACTCATACACTCTCTCTCTCTCTCTCTCTCCTTCCCTCACTCACACACACACACTCACTCACAGTCACACGCGCACACGCACACACACGCATGCGCACACGCACATACTCTCTCGCACATGCGTGCATGCACATACACACACACACACACACACTCTCAATCTATCTATCTACCCCACACACACACACACACACACATATATATATATATATATATATATATATATATAAATCTATGGGGTGAATTTTCATTTGCATATTTGTATTTGCAGATACATTCTATTTTGTTCAAAAAGCACACAATTTGTAGACAGTCAATGCGGTCTTTTAGAAATTCCTACTTTGGCAATAAAACCAGTCTGACTCCTAGTTAAAACGTAAACAGATTCTAACCAAGGCCTCATGCCTAAAATGGATTGTCTGACCTGGGATGCCACCTCTGGTATACTGAGGGAACTGATAAAACTTTTAGTTATCTCAGGGCAGTGACTTGAAAGAAATTTAGGAGTTTGCAGATTAATCCTTTCTAACTGATTAAAGATTTAACAGCCATCTTAGGTTTGTTCGACACCACATCAGTTCTATGCCCCTTTGATCATTTGCTTATAAATTCTATGTGTGATGCCACCTCTCTCACTGACACCTGAAGGAGTGAGACTGAAAGCTATAACTTGGTGTTGTGTGATTTTTGACCTTGTCCATCTCAGTCCAACGCCAGTGCCTCCACGTCTAGAATCTACCTATCTCTATCTTAAACACACTCAATGACTTGGCCTCAACAGCCTTCTGCAGCTATAATTTCCACAGATTAACTACCTTCTGGCTGAAGAAATTTCTCCTCATCTCAGTTCTAAAGGGTCGTCTCTTCACTCTGAGGCTGTAATAGGGGAGGCGATTGCCTAGTGGTATTATTGCTGGACTGTTAATCCAGAGACCCAGATAATGTTCTCAGGACCCTGGTTTGAATCCCACCATGGCAGATGGTGGAATTCAATAAATATCTGGAATTAAGAATCTAATGATGACCATGAATCCATTGTCTATTGTCGGAAAAACCCATCTCGTTCATTAATGTCCTTTAGGGAAGGAAACTGCCATTCTTACCTGGTCTGGCCTACATGTGACTCCAGACCCACAGCAATGTGGTTGACTCTTAACTGCCCTCTGGGCAATTAGCGATGGGCAATAAATGCTGCCTAGCCAGCGATGCACTCATCCTGTGAATGAATAAAGAAAAAAAAACCTCAGGTCCGAGTCTCTTCTACTGGTGGAAACATCTTTCCCACATCCACTCTATCCAGGCCTCTCAGTATTCTGCAAGTTTCAATGTAATTCCTCCTCATCCTTCTAAATTCCATCGAGTACAGACTGAGAGTCCTCAACCACTCCTCATATGACAGAACTTCATTCCCAGGACCATCCTTGTAAACTGCCTCTGGGCCCCTCAAAGACCACCATATCCTTCCTTTAATGAAGGGCTCAATACTGCTCACAATATGCCAAATGCAGTCTGACCAGAGCCTTATATAGCCAAGCAATACATCTCTTCTGCTCTTGTATTCCAGCCCCCTTGAAATGAATGCTAACATAGCATTTGCCTTCCCAACTACCAACTGAACCTGCATCTTAACCTTCAGAGAATGCTGAATCTAATTCCTTTATGCCTCAGATTTCTGAAATTTTTCCTCATTTAGAAAATATTCTGCTCCTCAATTCTTCCTGCTTGTCTGCCACCCTTTTCCTTGTGGTCACCACCCATTCTTTCTCTGACTGGACTTCCGTAAGCTGTGCGCTGTAAACCACATGCACCTAAAATTATGTTATTCACATAATTCTCAGCCTTGCGGATGCACTGCTATACCAAAAGCCAACATTCAGCGTCCAAAACCTGGCACTGAAGCTGGTCAACCGGTGGCATTTCTTGGTGAAGTGGTCTTCCAGACTATCAGAAGCATCTAAGAAATGCTGCAGGCCATGTGATGCACAGGACTGAGGTCCCTTGTCATACCTTTAGCCAAAATAGTTTTACCCTAAATTTATGCCAAGTAGAAAATTAATTAAATTTTTAGTGTCCTCCTTAAAAAAGGAGTAGCTGGAATTCTTACCTTTGCTTAAGGTGAACAAAACAACTTTCTCACTGCCTGCTAATATACTATTTACTCTGTGTTGATGTCACTTTTGCTTTCAGTCAAGACAAATGTAGGTCAAACACCTGATGGATATCTCTCTATGAAAAGCATCTTTACAAAAATTGATAATGGTTGTCATGTTCGCCGTTTCTGAGACAAGCTTTATAACTGCATATTTGTTAATTCAGTTTAAGTTCCCCTAGGTGTCGTGGTGGGATTTGAGCCCATATCCCCAGAGTATTTGTCTATTCTTCTGATTTACTAGTCCAATGATGGTATTAATACTCCATCTTGCTTAGGGTAACTATAGAACAGAATAGCGTAGTACAGCATTAGCTTTATTGTCACGTACTTGCATAAGTACAGTGAAAAGTTTATAGGTTGCCACTATCAGTGCCATCTGAGGTACTAAGGTACCTAGGTACAGCTTCTTCAGTTACAGTGTAACAATGTTACCATCACACGGTGCCATCTTGGGTACAGAGTACAATCCTTAGTTACACAGTAGAGAAATGCAAAGAAAGTTACATTGCAGCTATACACATAGCATAGATCAGAAAAACCAGAAGCACAGTTAAAAAGACAAACATCACAATCTCTCTCCAAGGGCTCTCTGCAGCAAACCAGTCCTGGGGGTCTCCACATGGTCTGACTGCTGGCTGCCACCATGCTCCACACTGGTCTGCTGCCCCCATTCCCGCACCAGGCCACTGGTTGTTGACTACTGAGCTTCTCTAGCATTTTGTTTTCTTTTATTATTTCAGATTCCAGCATGCATAGAACACTAAAGATGGCTTCTGTTGAGAAATTTTTGTGACCATCTGCTGCCCCATCTAAAAGAGTGGCAGCAGCTAACAAAGCTGGAAATTTAAATAGGGGAGATTTAATGAATAATTCTTGAGAGTTCACCTGTCGAGGATTCAAATTTATGATATTGTCTGGGTCTTAAGGTTAAAGGAAAAGTCTCAATGGCACAAAGTTTAGAAATTATCATTGTGAATAATGAAATAAAGAGAAAATGCTAGAGAAACTCCTCAGTTCTGGCAGCATCTGTGGAAAAATAAAGAATTAACATTTGGGTCTGATATAACACCAACTGGAGAAGTGTTAATTCTGTTTCTGTCTCCACAGATGCTACCAGAGCTGCTACGTTTCTCTAGCACTTGCTGTTTTCTTTATTATTACAGATTTCCAGCGTGCACAGTATTTTGCTTTTATTGTGAGTACTACTTGTCATTATAGGAAACTGGTTGAAACGTTCTTCGCTGTCAGGGTTAACTGATGGTGTTGAAGACCTCCTGGACATAAGCTCTGTAGACAGACTTTCATTTATACGGCAGAGTTCAAAGGTGCAGACTTTTTATTTTTTTTTAATTTACTTCTAATGAAACCAGTGTTGCTTTAGTTAGTTTTTATGTCCAATGCATGCCAGGGAGACGAAGAGTTTGCCTTTCTATAGTACTTTACCACATACGTAGAGCGTCCCAAAGTGCCCTATAATCAATTATTGCTCATCTAGCAATACTACATTTGTAATTCAGATCAACCGACATCTTAAATATTTCCCGTGGATTCTTAGAAGTTAATTTAATACGATCATAAAACAACAGGATGTTCTTGCAGTTTGCTTTCATTGAAATATCCAAGTTGACTGATGGCTTTGGAATGCATACATAAAAAAGATGTTTTTCAATTTATTGTTGCAGCATTACAAAAGTAATGAGTAAATTTAAATTCAATGGTATTGCTTTTAAACATGGGGTGTCAGCTTAAGATAAATTGAAATTCATTGAAACACATTCATAGTGTTTTGTGATGTTATCATGTCATCAGAGGGATAGCCTTGTCATAATGGAGTTGTCCTGATCTTTTCCAGTTAGGAACCTTTTTCACTTGCTGTGATTTATGACCTTGTTAAATTGTGCATATTAATAGCAGAACTAATGGTGTAACCAGGATTTAATAGTCCAACAAAGAAGAAGATATCCGTGCGATCAGGGTCCTTTTAACTTGTTTTCTGAACTCTTAAGAGATGTGGTCATTCTAGAATTTTGTAACTGAGCCCTTGGTAGATATGACTCAATGCAACAGTTATGGTTGACTAAACTGGGCATTGTGAGAGGTTTGACAATTAAAGAATCTCTGATGCAAAATGCAACCAAATGCTACACTCGCTATGCATTGCCTATACTGTACATGGAGTATAATTACATTAGTTATTTATGGCATCTTTCTCAAATTTGCCATATTATCACAGAAAGCTATTTTTAAAAAAAACTAAAGCAATTGTTTTAAACTTTTATTCCCTTTGTTCATGTTGAATGCAAATCAAAATGGTTTGAGTTTAACTACCTCCTTGACTCCTAGGCAGTACATTGTATGCTGAGACATACTGGTTAGGAACGTCCCTATCCAATTCTTGGCTTCTGCTAAGTCAGTCCAACAACTCAGTAATAGGTATTCTATATTTGACATCAAATGTTTGGGCTTTGGAGAGGAACAGATTATCATAGGTTCCTGCTCTGGATATCTGCCAACATCCACAAGAAATGCACTCTCGACCCTAGATATGGATGAATGAAATAACTCTAAATGATTGGTTTCTGGCTTTGAGGCTTCCACTTTGCAAAAGCTCTGGATGGACACCATGCTCTGGAGCAGAGTTACAATGAGAGTTGCTGAATCAGAGAACAACGTGCACGGAAAGACTCTGATAAATCCCCACTTCAAAACACAATGCGGACATTTAAATAACTGCAATATCTAGATCCTAGACACCAGCCAGATTATGAATGGAAATCTCTAACGACAGAAATTGTCAGAATTGGAAGTTGAGTTAAAAATGCATGTGCATAAATGTTGAGCAGAAGTCTTGCCACTCACATTTCTGTTCCATTAATACCATCTTTATAATTATTGACACTTTTATTTCAATATCAAATGTTGGCTTTCACTCTGGCATCGTTTTGATCTCTAAGTCAGAATATTTGATTCATTTTCCATTCCAGAGATTTGAACATATAAACTAGATAGTACAGAGGGAGTACTGCATTTTCAGAGGAGTGTCTATGTAGAAGAGTTGTTAAACTGACACCCTGTTTTCTCTCTTGGGTGGATATAAAAATTCTATTTGGAAAAGTCCGGGAGAGTTGTTCCAATATTTCTGTCTCAAACAATAGAATATCCAATCATTGTAGCGTTGCTAATTTTAGTAACTTGCTACATGTAAACACTTTTCTATGCTACAACAATTGATGATACTCCAAAAAAGCTTAATTGGATCTGAAATGCTTAAGAGCGTCCTAAGCTTTCGAGAGTTCTTTCAATGTATCCTGCTTTAAATATTTAATTATATCTTTAATATGCCATTCCAAAATATAATTTGTTTCTATAGGTGTCATGAGAATGGGACTTGCACGTATTTATCTGATGGAGAGTAAAGTCATATGAGCACAGGATGTTGAAAAAAAATTAACTCCTGTCGGTTTATAAAGTTCTCTAAGAAAACAAATGCGTATTAATTACTTTATAATGTAATTGTTCCAGGTTAAGTTTAACAGTGCAGTTAAGCTCTCAGAAGCTGAGGGCCTGGAGGATGGGCGAGATGAAGAGGAGAACTTCTTCAAGCGTCTTGGTAAATGGCGCTCTGGTCGAAGGAATCCATCTAAGCTTCATCACGCTGAAGAAAAAGATGGTATTTACCATAGCACCTGATCCATAAATTGTGTTTGGCCTTGTTTGTGTAATTCAGTTTTTGGTTTATATTGGCTTTTTAAAAAATAATTTAGAGACCTTTATCTCTTCCTCCTTGGTTATAACTTGTAATCATTGCAGAGGCGATGGCTTAGTAGTACTATCACTGAACTGTTAACCCAGAGAGCCAGATAATATTCTGAGGACCTGGGTTTGAATCCCGCCATGGCAGATACTGGAATTTGAATTCAATAAATATCTGGAATTAAGAGTCTAATGATGAACATGAACCCACTGCCAATTATCGGGAAAACCCCATCTGGTTCACTAAAGGGAACTGCCTGGTCTGGCCTACATGTGACCCACAGCAATGTAGTTGACTGTTAACTGCCCTCTGGGCAATTAGGGATGGACAATAAATGCTGGCTTAGCCAGCAACGCCTTCATTCTGTGAATGAATAAAGAAAAAAGATCAGATAACTAATGTTCAATCCAGTGTCATTAACGTTAATATCGTAATTAAGATATGTTTTGCTTCAGGCTTTCTTGCTTTCCGTTTTCATCTTAGCACTGACCAATCATTAGTAGTGACTTGCATGTCATCTACAAAGTTACCTTCATAGGGAGGGCTATTATATTTGCTTGGAAATTAAGCTTTCTGGAAATGTATATGAACAGAGTAGGAGCAAATCACCAGCATAAGCAGCATGGTGCATAAGATTATGAGTCAGTTGCCATTTCTTTTGGCATTCTCACAAATTGCAACTGGTATGTAGGAGTTAAAGAGTGTGTTTAATAACTGGGTAACAAATTGATTTTTCAAACAAAAAACTCAGATCATATAGACCAATCTTTAACCATTTTGCTACTGTAGGTCTTTGTTATTAATTGTGAATGGTACATCAAGTATAACCATGATTCAGGTCTGTAAATTATCACATATGATGTGTAATGATTTTATATTGACCATTCTACTGCAATAACTAACAATTCTCTCCAGTCTGTGCCATGCACGAAAATATAGCATATTACGTTATTCCAGAGGCAAGTTAGAATGCCAATTTACATGGGACATGAGTGTCTTCATATCAGCATTTTCATACCAACATGGAATTCCAGCAGATATTAAACAGACAAACTAAAAGTTCACTTCACTTTGCATTTCTTTCACCACATCGATGTCATTCCCAATGGGATTTAGGTACATTATTTGTGTCTAAGAGATTGGTAATCCACAAAGTGGGAACACTCAGTGCAGATCAGATGCAAGGCTGGCTTAGTGAGGTTGGAAATTGCAGTGTCTGTAGCCACCATATTGTAATCCTTCTTGGATATAGAGGTGATGGTAGACCACTGGAAGTTTGGAAATGTTCGTGGTAAAAAAACTTTGAGACAAAATCATTTGGTGTTTCTGAATGTATGGGTAAATAAATGAAAGAGAGCATGAATTTATAATGGAAAATTGCACTTGAGTAGCCTGATCAAAGTCCTTTATGCAAAACCTAAGGAGAGTTGATGTGTATAATGCAGTTCATGTATACATAGACTCTCAACAGGCTTTTGACAAAGTACGATAACATAGATGCATCAGTAACATGGAAGCCACAAGACTACAATGACACCATGGATTAATGATGAGCTAAGGAGCAGACTATAGACAGTGGTAGTGAACGGCTGTTTTTCAGACCAGGTGAAAATAGCCAACTGCTCCTTTACATTGAAGCTTTTGCTTTCATTCATTGATGGTGATACCAGCACTTATTGCCTGTTACCAATTCTCCATATAAATCATTAAAATGTTAAGCTGAGAAGGAGACCCTTCAATTATGGACTAGGATCTTCCAATTCATTCTATCTAGAACTTTCATAACCCTTTTTACACTAGTTAGAAAGCAGCCCTAACTATCAAATCTTTCCTATTAACTAAAATTCTTCAAACTAGATAACACCTTCACAAATCTCCACACTATCCTCTTGACTGCAATCGTATCTTTCCTAAAATGTGTTCACGATACGTGTTGCTCCAGATATGACCTAACGCTTGTTTTATGGAGTTCCAGAATATCCTCCCACTCTTAGGCCTTGCACCTCAGCTAATAAGGACAAGTGTTCACCTTACTTAGCTATCCATCCCCCTTCAGGAATTAGTGGATTTCCACCCCACTGCTTCTCTGTTCCTCTACAATTCTCAGTCCGCCATCATTTATTATATGTTATTTTCCTCCGTTAGCGTTCGCCAGGTGCATTTCCTCGTACTTGCCCAGATAGAAATCCATTTGCTATTGTTTCACACAACTGACTAGTCCATTGATAACTTCCTGTAGAGTTTAGCTTCCTCCTTCATTATCATCCACATAATTCTCATAGAATCCCTACCGTGTGGAAGCAGGCCATTTGGCCCATCAAGTTCAACCCAACTCTCCAAAGAGCATCCCACCCTATCCCCATAACCCCACATTTCACATGACTCAATCTACACAGTTTGTACATCCCTGGATACTATGGGCAATTTAGAATGGTCAATCCACCCAACCAGCACATCTTTGGACCATGGGAGGAGACCGGAACACTTGAAGAGAATGTGTAAACTTCACACAGACAGTCGCCAAAAGTGGAATCAAACCAGAGTCCCTCGCACTGTGAGGCAGCAGTGCTAACCACTGAGCCACTGTACCGCCCCAATTCTCTACTAACCTTTTAGTTATACCATTTATATTCAAGTCCAAATCATTGATATGTACCACAAAAAGCAACGTACCCACTTCCGAGCCTGGTTGAACCCCAATTCCAGTCAGAAAAGTATCTCTTGACCATTAAAATCTGTTTTCTCCTCGTCAGCTAATTTTGAATTCAACTTGTCACTCTGTCATGGGTCCCATGGTATTTTACTTACTGCCTACTTTGCCTTGTGGGGCTTTATCAAAAGCCTTGCCAAAATCCATATAGACTATATTCAATGTATTGCCCTCATTGTTACCTCCTGAAAAGGTTTAATTATCTTAGTCAGCACAACTGTCCCTGAACAAATCCAACCTAATTGTCTTTGATTAAACTGTGTCTTTCTAAGTGAAGATTTATGCTATCCCTCAGAATTTTTTCCAAAAATCTCCCCATTGAGGTTCAGTGCAAGCCTGTAATTACTCTATTTATTTCTTTTTCGCATTAGCTGATGTCGCAAGGACCAGGGGCATAGACTTGAGGCTTTGGGGAAGCGATTAAGGGAATGTCTTGAGGAAGGGCATTTTTGTATGGATAGTAGTAATGACTTGGTTCTGTAAGTAAAAGTAATTCCAGCGAGTCTCCAAAACTTTGAAATTGCAAATTAAATAATATTAATTAGTCCATAATCAATTATATTAAAATGGCTAGAGTAAAAGTATTCCTGATTAGATTTTACTTGTTAAACATTGTCGGATCAGGTTAGTGATTGGATTTTGTTCACTACAAGATCCTTGATTGGGGTTGTCAATCTTCGCCAATCAGGAGCCCTGGCTGACAGATATAAACAGGGGATTTAGAATCTCCTCCATTCAGGGGACTGACTCTGAGTTGGGTGGCCACAGCCAGTACACTGTGCACATGTAAATAAAGGGTGACTTGGTAATGGGATACTGGCCTCTGTGCAGTTATTTCAGATGGCATGATTCTAATTCCATTGGAGAAAACATATGTAATAATTCTATCATTAAGAGTAGCGTTAATGGTCTTGTGGCATACAGCTACACCCGCACATGGCACCATAAAAAGTTTACCAATGTAAGTGGAACTTCGTGTTTTTCAACACATTTTTATAAGAGATGAGGAAGGTCAAGTAGATGTTTGTATACATTGGTAATCAAAAACCACTGAACAACATTCCTCCAAGAATCCACAGGGAATGTTCAATTTCACAGAAGAATTAAAGACCACAAAATTGGACGGGGTCCAAAAATGGGCAGAGGGATTATGATGTAGATTACCCAGCACTCATTGCTACTGATGCAGGCATAAGAACATAGGAGTAGAGAGTCTGCCATTCAACCACTTAAGGCTATCCTGCTGTTTAGATTATGACAGATCATCTACCTCAAAGCCATATTGTCATGCTTGTAATGGACCAGACCAAATCACCTCAAAATATATTAAGAACATAGCCTAGACTCCAACATTTTCATATTTTTGAAGGCAACTGTAAGGCATTGTGTTCTAATGGAATTTGATTGGTCGAACTACCAGGTTTGAAGCAAAACACACTTTATTCTTAAAATACAAACAAAAGAAGGAAGAATTGGTCTAACTTTAACTCTTTTGGAAAACTTAGCAGAATAATAGATTACTTGACTACTAAACAGCCATTGTTCCAATATAGTAACATCCAATAAACACACCCTTGGCAAAGGCAAATTCAGTAAAATAGATTGTCCCTCATGCAATTCTCTGGTCCAGGAGGAAAGAACATCAAGAAAAAACCTTGCGTGTGTATATGTGTGTATGTGTGTGGGTGTGTGAGTGAGATAGAGAGAGAAAACTTAACTTCTTTTCCTGCAGCAGAGAGAGTTGTATAGCAGCTTCCAAATCCCAACAGCTACTGCAAGTTAAACTAAAACCTTGGTTCTGTGGGAGCTTGACCCCATTCCTTCATGCTGCTTCTATTGTTACAACATTTTAAAAAACCCCAAGACCTCACAAGCTGTTTACTTTGTTGACCTGGAACAGCCCACTCAGACCTCTATCTCAACCTTCTTTCACAAAAACAATCATGGCAAAATGCACCTCTTAAAGCCACAGTATTGCCGCATGCTATCGTCACATCCCCTGATGTTATTGGTTCCGTTGCAGATTAATTGATTGAAATTGTATGTTATGATGAGTCAGCAAAAAATTTGTCAAATTACTACTCTGATAGCAGTGTAATATAGTCCCATGTCTGTTATTGGTCTAAGAATTGCCAAAGTCAGAAGTCACACGACACCATGTTATAGTTCCACAGATTTATTTGAAATCATAAGCTTTTGAAGCGCTGCCCGTTCATCAGGTGAAGTGGAGGGTAGCGTACAGGCACAGAATTTATAGGTGGAGAGATCATTGCAAGATAATTCTAGGGCATTAAATGTGTCAAAAGATAGTACAAATGGTGCGAGTAGAGTATCGACGGGTCTTTGCAAGTGATCAAAAGTGTCAAACGGTGTGTGTAAAGTGTCAACAGCTGAATAGCAAGCGAAGGGATGATCTATAATCCAATTAATTGAGGCAGAGAGATAATTACAAAAAATGAAAAATAAGATGGTGCTGGAGACAAACCAAATGGCTGGAATAACATGATAGATAGAAGAGTCACATGACGAGGGTCTAACCAAAGTAACAAGTAATCCAAAACTGTACAAACTAATTAGGGTAGAGAGGTCATAATAAGTTGTCGAGGCGATGGTGTCAAAACAGAACAGAAAGGATGATTTTACAAACACAGAACAATATAGTGGGGTCACATGTAGCGTGACATGAACCCAACACCACGGTTGAGGCCATCTTCATGTGTACAGAATTTGGCTATCAGTTTCTGCTCAGCAATTCTGCGTTGTTGTATATCTTGAAGGTTGCCATGGAGGATACTTACCCAAAGATTGGAGACTTAAGATCTTTGACCGCTGCAGTGTTGCCCAACTGGGAGGGACTACTCCTGCCTGGCCATTGAATACTACCATCACACGTGGGAACACCACCCACCATGTACATGGTGTAGGTACTTGTGACTTGGCCGATGTAGACCCCTCATACGCTGCAGGAAATGATGCCCCAAGGCATGGTATATCAGCAAGACCATGCAGACACTATGACAATGGATGAACAGACACCACGCAACAATGGCCAGGCAGGAGTTTTCCCTCCCAGTTGGGGAACACTTTAGCGGTCAAGGACATTCAGCCCCTGATCTTCAGGTAAGCATCCTTCGAGATGCACAACAACACAGAATCACCAAGCAGAAACTGATAGACCTGTCGCGTTACATGTAACCCCACTGTACTGTTCTGTGTTTGTAAAAACTTCCTTACTGTTCTGTTTTGACACCATCACCTCGATAACTTGTTATGGTCTCTCTACCTTAATTAGTTTGTCCACTTTTGGATTACTTGTTACTTTGGTTAGACCCTCGTCATGTGACTCTTATACCGATCATGTTATTCCAGCCATTTGGTTTGTCTTTAGCGCCATCTTATTTTTGACTTTTTGTAATTATCTCTCTGCCTCAATTAATCAGATCACAGGTCATCCCTTCACTTGCTATTCCGCTGTTGACACTTTACACGCACCATTTGACATTTTTGATCACGTGCAAAGACTTGTTATTCAGCCTGTCAGCCATTTGTACTATCTTTTGACACTCTAAATGACTTAGAATTATCTTGCAATGATCTCTCCATTTATAAACTCTGTGCCTGTATGCTTCCCTCCACTTCACCTGGCAAAGGAGCAGTGCTTCAAAAGCTTATGATTTCAAATAAACGTGTTGGACTATAACCCAGTGTCATGTGACTTCTGATTTTGTCCACCCCAGTCCAACTCTGGCACCTCCACATTAGGAATTGCCAAATTTCCATATAAGCACTTCGGTCTGATTAAATTTAACTTCTTTTTAGCTTTACCATTGTAAATAAAGACACAGAGATAACAAGGTGTAGATCTGGATGAACACAGCAGGCCAAGCAACATCAGAGGAGCAGGAAAGCTGACGTTTCGGGCCTAGAGCCTTCTTCAGAAATGGGGGAGGGGAAGGGGATTCTGAAATAAATAGGGAGAGAGGGGGAGGTGGATAGAAGAAACGTCAGCTTTCCTGCCCCTCTGATGCTGCTTGGCGTGCTGTGTTCATCCGGCTCTACACCTTGTTATCTCAGATTCTCCAGCATCTGCAGTTCCTACTATCTTTAAATAAAGACACAGTTATGTTTTAATTATGAAATTTGATACTTTTTTTATACTTTTGCAGGCTGTCGTAGCTTTGAAGAACACCTTGCAGCCAGTCAAGAAGGAAGTAAAAACAAAAATATTGTGAATCTTGGAGCGATCAGACAGGGCATGAAACGGTTCCAGTTCCTTTTAAATTGCTGTGAACCTGGTACAATTCCTGATGCTTCGATCCTAGCTGCAGCTCTTGACCTGGTAAAAGAAAAGCTTTGTCATTTGTCCACCAGTTTCTGTATTAGGGAATGTGGTAATGCAAGTTATTTCTAGAAGTTTTTAAACTTTCACTTTTAAATGTCAAACGGGAGTGAAGAACTAACCAGCATAAAATGCAGCTGAGGGTTTAACAACGCTGCATTTAGGACGAAGTTAAATACGTGAGGAAGAAAGGAATTAAAGAATACACTGGTAGGGCAGGACAAGGCTTGTACAGAGCATAAACATCAATGAAGATCTGTCAGGTCAAATGATCTTTTTTTATGTCCTGTAGTTTCTGTACAACATTGTTAACTGTTTACAAAATCATAACTGTGGGTGTATTTTGTTTTTATAATTTCACTTTATAATCTCATTATAACTTGTAAGCAGTAGAGTTCTTACAAACAATAAAAGATCATTGGATGAACAAGCCTGCCCTACAGAACAGCAGTGCCTGGAGCTTCACGATTAGACATCCATTCTGACCAGCATACATGTCCACCTGCCCAACACCAGTCCCATCATTCCCTTGGAGAGGCAAAGAAATGGGGGGAAAAAAAATCATGTGGCCAATCAGGGAAACAAAATTATGGGGAAGTCTGCTCCAATCCATTTAAACAATTAAAATTAGTCCAGGAGACTATTTTGACCAAATTGACATGTATGTTTGTAAAATGTGGTCTTCTCAATTCAGCATGGATTTGTAAAATTTGGCAAAATCTAATTTAATTGGATTTTAGGTGGTAACTAACATAGGAGAGAAGGTGGTGTTTATGCAACTTATTTATATGGACATACAAAAAGCATTCACAAAAAATTTATGTAGGAGCCTTAACAAAAGTGTCTGCATATTACTGGAGGTAACCTATTGATTTAGATAGGAGTGTAGGAGACAGAACCAGTGGACATATGCTTAATTTTTCAGGATGTGACTGGTTATGTTCTCCAAGCACCTAAATGAGAGCCACTAAATTTTCAAAATATTTATAAATAATTTGGAAGAAAGACCAGAGAGATTGACATCTAAGCCTGCTGATCCTACTGATTTAGATAACACAATAAACTTTATGGTTTGCCACAGAACATTGCAAAGGAACATTGATGAATTAAATGAATGACTAAAACGGTGGTAGATGAAATTCAATGTGGGTCATTGAGATCACAAATTTAGATCTTTGATCTTCATCTGATGTAACCATTCCACTGGTTATCTAAGCACTGATCTAATTTTTCCCCAGTTTTCAATTTGAAATGACTTCTTCAGGAAATACAAGAAACACAATGAGACTTTAAAAATCCTCTACCCTCTATCAAATCACTCAGAAGTCTACACAATTACAATAAGAAAAGAACTAGCCATTTAACCCTTTCTGAATAACCATTTTTTTAATATATTCATTCATGGGATTTGGGTGCCTCTAGCTAGGCCAGAATCTATTGCCTACAGATAATTACCCTGAAGAAAGTGGTGGTCGAACTGCACTTTTGAACGTTGCAATCCTTGGCATGTAGAGACCAACATTACTGTTAGGAAGGGAGTATCATGCTTTTGACTTAGTGACAGTGAAAGAATGATATAGTTCTAACTCAGGATGGTGGCGGTTATGTTGGTGTAGACTCGATGGGCTGAAGGGCCTTTTCTGCACTATATGACTCTATGGTGGTCAGCTTTGAATGGAACTTCCCGTAGACAGTCCCCCTTGCAGTCCTGCTTGGCAATTTTTCCAAAGCTTCTAAATCACTTACATTTTGGAATTGAACTTGAGTCTCATTGGAGTTTTGTACAAAAATTAAATGGTGTGATTTATTTTTTGCGAAATATTTATGTAATCAACTAAGTTCCCATTTTAGATCAGCTTATTCAGCTTTAGTGTCACAAGTTTAATAGCGTCACAACTTACACTTTAATGTTTTGTGACAGAACTGACAAACTATATGTGATATAACTTGTGCTATATTGGATCAGCCTCTCACACTGACCCAGCCTGTTTCCCGCTCCCTAAGCCTTGCTTACAGACTCTGACCCTCCTATTCTCTGTTTGTCTTCCATTCTCTGCTTCCCTCCCTGACTCTTCCACTTGTCTTGCCCCTACGTGACTCTATCATTTGCAGCTGCTGTTGCTCACTTCTCCCAACTTGCTGCTCTGCTCCTGAGCCCTCATTCATTGCAATGAGAGGAAACAGCGAGCAAAATATTCAAGCAGGGAAGTGGTAAGTAAGGTAGTCCAGTAATGAATTGGTGAGCTAGACAGTTCGGCAAAAAACTGGCAAATGGGAGAGTCGGGCAATGAAGTAACAGATGAAAGAGGGTTGGCAAGAGAGAGAGAGGGTTAACATGGCCTGTGCTAGAGACAGCAAGCAGGAGGTATGTAGAAAGAGTTAGCTGATTTTGTTTACATGTTTAAACTGATTACATTTTAAAAGTAACTGCATTAGTTAATGTAGTCATGTGCAGTATTTCAATTTGTATTGTATAATGTTTATTTTTCCGATGGGAAATATGTGAAAGAAGCTAACTACAGATTTTTACATTGGTTGTCAGGGGAAGACCTGATTTGCTTAAGGACATTTCCCCCTTAAAGTTTTACTTATCAGAAACGCAACTGCAACTTTAGAGGGGTTGCACCTTGTTTGCTTTGGGTACAATTTCTGGTAGCTTGGTGGTTGTCGGGGGTCTTAGCTGTGTCTGTGCAATACACCTGACCCAGCCATCAGGACAGCATCCGAAGGGCTGAGCAATTTGCACAGGAGAGTGAAGGATCCAGGCATTTTGAAGGGATTTCAGACACAACAAAAAAACCAAAAGAACTGCGGATGCTTGAAATCTGAAGCCAAAACCGAAATTGCTGGAAAAGGTCAGCAGGTCTGGCAGCATGTGGGGACAGAAAGCAGAGTTAACATTTCAGGTCGAGTGACCCATCTTCAGAACTGATGGTAGCTAGGGAAAGGATGTTTTTTATGCAGAAGACAGGGTGGGGGAAGAGTGCAGTAGTAAACGATGGGTGGAGATCGAGCCCAAAGAAAGAGAGAAGAACAGTCGGACAGACAAAGGATTGGTTAAAGGTCAGTCTGGGGGAAATCGTTAGCTGCTAATGGGGACTATTAGTGGTTGACAATGGGTTTTTGCAGTAGCAGCCCATGTGATGATAAGGTCTGGTGTCAGGAGGCGGAGGGGGGCAGGGGTGGGGGGGTAGTTGGGGCGGAACAGAGCATGGAGAAAGGTGCTCAAGGCCTAAAATTGTTGAATTCAATGTTAAGTCCAGAAGGCTACAGAGTTCCCAAGTGGAAAATGAGGTGCTGTTCTTCCAGCTTAAACTTCGCTTCTCTAGAGTGCTGCAGCAAGCCCGAGACAGAGACATTTACCAGGGAATATTTCATATTCCTTTGAGAGAATTTCATATTACTTTGATTCCTCAGTCCTTTGCCTAGGAACACAATTCAATACCTGGGACCAAGCAAGAGCAGGTGTCATGGCAGAGGTAAAGGTGCTGCAATTGTTCACAATTAACACAATCCTCACAGACGGTGTAGTCAGATCAGTGAACAGCCTGCCTCCACCTTCTCCAAGGCAACAAGTCAACTGCATGGCAATGTTCAACACTGGAGGACACCATGCTGGCTAGAACAATAAATTGTGCCACAGTGGTGTTGCAATACATTAGGTATTATACAGAACTGGATTACACATGAATAAAATGAAGACAAATCTAAAAAATAATTGATTACATAATAGATATAAGATGATTGAAGGCATTAGTTGGTAAGATGTTGTCATTTTCTTACCAGAAACTGAGCACAGTGTCTAGTAAACTTTGGTTATGTGTCACAGGCAATCAAGTGGATATAATGTTGTGACTTCGATATCTCAAACCCCTTCCATCCCCTTCCAGGTCAATGCTCACGCTCTTCCAAGACAGGTGTCTTGTCAAGTGATGTTAGATACACAGAGTGTGATGGCATCCTGCAGGGAATCATAAGCGCCTTGGCGTCTACATCGTGTGCTTTGTCTCTGAGGCCCTGCCTGTGTTCTTGTGTCACCTTCTTCCTACAACCCAAACCACCTCTTCCTCACACTCTTCTGGCTCAGTGTCAGAGTCCTTTGAGCATAAAGCTATGTAGCATGCAGTGTACCCTACACAGTCCACACTGCAGACCCCCACTGAAAGGTCAAGGCCAGTGGCCTCGGCCTGCTCAAAGCAAGATCAATATGAAGGTGCCTTTCATTGTATGTTCTCTGAGCCTTTGTTTTCAGCTGCTGCAGCGCTGTGAGCAGCCACTTCTTTAAAGAATACCCTTTATGCCTGAGTATCCATCTGTGCAGCTGTGTGAGAGATTGTGTGAACATTCATTTGCAGCCTTGAGTCGTGACAAATAAATGAGTCATGACATTTACCAGGGTACAGGCGCAGACATGAAGGAATCTTTTATGATGGTTGCTAGGCAGCCGTTTTTTGATGCCCTTTAAGATTATGCCTGGTCTCCACTCTGCATGACAGTCCTTATTGCAACGTGTGTACAGTCAATCACATCCAGCGGCTGTGGAAAGCATACTACAGAGGCAAATCCTGTTGCCCTCCCTGGCTGAGATGTTATGTCAATGTCATTAGAGACATAGTGGACCTACTCTGACCACCCACTCAGTCACACAGTGACAGTGGACCCTTCAAACTGATCATGAAAATGGGAAAGGCCATGCTGAGTTTAGCACTCCTGGCAGTGAATGTGTTTGGATTGATTTTGGCTACAGGTCTTCATGCAGATGGACACACAGCTTGGGACACAAACTCTCTGAACCAATGTAGCCTCCTTCTGCATTGTCTCTTTTTCTCATGTCTAGGTAAGTGAACCTGTTTCTATAAGTCCTTAGAGGTAGCTACCATCTGAACCTGCGACGCCTCATTCTGGCAGGTACTTGGTGTTAAGCTTCACAAACACTAAAATACCCTCTGCTCCTCCACAATTCCTAGTTTCTCATCAAAAAGATATTCCAGGTCTTTGTTTTTCAGATCCAAGTTGGATGACGTCCCAGTTATACATGTTGAACACCATGGCACCCCTCCAGTTTTAGGCACTGACTTAATCTTTCAATGTTTCTTTGCAACTTGCTGCTCGTAAGTCACTTACACTTCTGAAACTGGCAAGTAGATGACAAAATGACCAACATTTTGATATTTAGGTCATTGAGGAAGAGGGTTTAGAAGTACTCAACATGGCCTGTTGAATGTCCTTAACTATAAATTGGAAAATAAATTCATGTTAGATGTGAAAAATTTTGAATATTGATTATAATTTGAGTGGCCTTTTAAAATGCAATTTTTTATTATAGATCCCTTAAAATGGAAATAATTCAGTTACTCTTTATTTGGTAATTATTCTGGAAGTTTAAACAAATTTAGATCATAGTGCCAGACTCATCTTTTGGCTGCCAAATGACTTGGTGTATTGCAGTTCCAAATTTTATTGTGAAAATTATTATTGCGTACTGGCTTGGGAAAGAAATTTGATTGCACAAAAACTTTTACAACTGTGATCAATTTGATGCATTAAAAATCTGAACATGTCAGACCAAAAGTTAGATATCTTGACTGTAATGTCATATTGACCACTAGATTTCTTTATAAGTACCAGTGAAAATGTAATAAGTGAACCATATTTTCAAAACATCATTGTTTTTACCCACAGGACATGGCAAGCAGCGGCAAACTATTTTTTTAACATCTGCTTCGCATTTCAGTTGAAGGGTTGAATGTAATTAATTGATGACTTCGATTTGCACATCTCTCATTGAACACCTTTTTAAAGATTTTTGCACAACCAGCTAGCATGCAAGACAACACTTTTTGCTATATCTCGGTACATGTGACAACAATAAATCAAGCTCAAACATTTTCTTCCCACCTAGGAAGCACCAGTGGTAGCAAGGGCAGCACTATTCCTGGAGTGTGCCCGGTTTGTACATCGTTGCAATCGAGGAAACTGGCCAGAATGGATGAAAGGACACCATGTAAATATCGCTAAAAAAGGTTTATCCCGAGGAAGATCACCAGTGGTTGGAAATAAGCGTAATCAGAAATTACAGTGGAAAGCAGCAAAACTCTTCTGTCAGTGGGGTGAGGTAAGAAAGGAACATTTGGCGTAATAAATAATATCAAAGAAATGAATGGGTGTATGTCTGTACTACTTTAGTAATATCTTTAAAAATGTCTCAAATAATGTGTACAGTTTTAAGCTCTCGTTTATCACAATGATACATGATACCTAGAGAACAATCAATGTAAATCTAACAGAAAAACACCACAGAAAGGGAGAGTTTGAGTTACAAGCAACTATTCTTGAATTCTCTGCAAAGCTTAATATTAGAATAAAGGGAGGGGGCCAAACCAATGCAAGGGAAACAGAGTAAGCATAGATTATTTGCACTGGCAGAAGGATTGGAGTTACAATTAATTTATCTGAAAATAAACATGCAATACATGGAAATAGGGATGAGAAGTTATTATGGTGGTATAGGAGGCCATTTGGAGCCAATACCATCGCTCAATTTAATGATCCTGTTAATGTTATTGCCTAATCTATCTCCATACCCAGCAAGTTCATTTCTCTTGAGCTCAGTCCAATTTCCTTCCAAAACCATCAAATATCTCCATTTCCGCTCCTTGCATAGACAGTAGGTTCCAGGCTATTATCACTCACTGCATAAAATAAGTTCTTCCTTGTATCTCCCTGTAATTCTTATCCAAAATTGTAAATCTCTGATCCCTTGTTTTGTATCAACAGCTAATCGCAGCAGCTTTTCCCTGCCCACGTTAACTAAACCTGCTATAATGTTGTACTCTTCTATTCAATCTGCCCTCATTCTCTTTTGCTTCAGGGAGAACAGCACTTTCTCCAACATAACCTTGTAATTGATTTCACTCATACCAAGAGTTTTTCTGGTAAGTGCTGTTTCTCAAGGACTATCCCACCCTTCCTAAAGCAATATTCTAAGGCCCAGATCACCCAATAGGCAGATAGTCATTGTAGCAGTGTAGTCTGGAGATGCACATTGGAACAATGCAGAAATCCTAATAGAGCTGATGCTGCAGGAAATGCCCACAAAGTTGAACTATCCAATACTAATTGCCTAGCTGTGGAAACCCTAAAACATCCCCTAACATTGGAATCTGAGGCCACCTTCACGCCCCCTCCACCACAACCCTTGACATTCCTGGAACTGACTGGCCTCTGACCCTCAACCTGACACCTCCCTGCTCACCTGGACCTGACATTGCACCCTCTCGCTCTTCCCCACCCCGCAAAAGCCCCCAATCCCCAACGCCAAGCTGTCCTCTCCTTCTCCAACTCAAACCCCAATGGATCCAACATTACCCAACTTGACTTGACACCACCACCATCCCTCCCACTTCACCTAACTGCTACTTTACACTCATTTGCCATCCTATCTCCCCTAACCCATCTCCTCATCCTGCTGTTGATACAAAACAAGGGATCAGAGATTTACAATTTTGGGTAAGAAATACAGGGAGATATAAGGAATATCCTGGCACCCTACACCCTTAACTTACTTTATAGATGTGCTTCCCTGAGCAGCTGTCCAAGTTTTGAAGGCCGTTAAATCACAGAACACAGCATGAACTAGTGAAAAAGGGGCATAGTTTCCACATTAATGCTCCTTGCTCCCGTCTTCTTGAACTCGTGGACAGCTGGGAAGTGTCCAGGTCTGGAAAATTCCACAGAGAAACTGCTCCAAGGTTAGTGGCTCATTTTAAAATGGGCAAGTTGGGAGGATATTCCAGAACTTTCTCTACTAACAATAATATGCATGCATATCTTTTGTTCATCAACCTATGCCTTGAATGAAATAGTTTTCCATTTCAACAGCACATTGCATTTATATATTGTCCTTATGCAGTAAGACAATACATGGCAAATCACAAGAATGTTGGAAAGCAAAATTCGACACAACGTTACGTAAGGAGTTATTAAGACAGATGAGCAAAAACTTGGTCAAAAAGATGGAGGTTTATCCAAGACATCTTAAAACAAGAAGGAGATGTCAAAAGTTGAATTCCAAACCTTAGGGTCTTGGTAACTGAAGACACAACAGTTAAAACTGGGAGCTTTAAAGATGTGGAATTGGAACAACACAGAGAGTTCAGAGCAGGAGATTACAGTGGTAAGGCCAAGAAAGGATTTCAAACTAAGGGTAAGAATTTTAAAATTAAGGTGCTACTTAATTGGCACCCAGTAAAGGTCAGCTCACACAGGGGCGATGGGTGATACATAATTTTTATTGCAAGACCACTACAAAAAGCAATGGAAAAGCAGACATCTATATCTCAATCCCAGTCAAATAAAAGGGATGTTATACCATTTGATGTAACTGAAGATATACAATTGCAATCTATCTCTTTTAAACCAAATTTAAGGAGAAATTTCTTTTTCATGGAATAATATTGTCTTCAATAATTTCCAGAGGGATGCCCTTACAAAGCTTTGGATGGAAATGAAACCCCACATACTGTATACAGAAATGTCATCCCATTTTTCAAAATGCCAGTGCAAATACATCTTAAAACATTTTGTTCTCCATGAAATCACTAGAGTAGCCTTTACCAGCTAAGTCAATCCACACTAAATAGAGAAACTTTCCCAAATGGAAGAGCGCGCAATTAACATTTTAGGATGACTCTATGTTATCCTACACGTTGCTTTGTCTGAATGACCATTCCTGGTGGGGTTTTATGATACTACAGCAAACTTTGTTTTAACCAGCACTTATCAACTGGCATTCTTGATAAATTGGCATACCTTTGTATACCTCAAATACTGCGATCTACCACGATGTCCAAGTATTTATGCTATAAATAAAGAATAACGCAGATGTGTATATCCCCTGCATTATGTTCCCATTATTTACTGTATGTTTTTACATTGATTTTAGCAGGTATGTTGGTGTTTTACATGGATTTTTTGAGGGATATTGATGTCTTGAAGCTTTGCTTGGTCAGGATTTACTGCATTTACATGGTCCTCTTGATTATCTAGAATATTTAATCAACTGGCACACCCCTGGTCCCACAGGTGCCAGTTAATAAAAAAGCTTGCTGCACCTAATTTTCCATGTTCCTTATAAGCATAATAGCAGATTGTAATTGTTCTGTTCAGACCTCAAGGACGAAGATGGCATGACAATAAAATACCTGACTAAAACTGCAATCCTGTCCAAGTTAGCAGTACATGATAACATCAATTCATTAGTTAACACTTTATGAATGAAAATGAATGATTGGAAAATCAGAGATTGATGCCCATAGTTCCTGGTTGTCCAGATTTTATTTTTTTCCACTTCACGTTGAATTGTGTCATTCAATTTTCCCTCCTTCCACTCAGTTTCTCCCTGGTATCTTATTGGAGAATAGGAACCTGCTATGTGGATCCACCGTGAAGGTCCTGCCTTCTCTAACTAGCCCAACATGTGGAAACCCTCAGATTGAACCACTGACAGCTGTCTCTCTCTCTCAGAGAGAGCAGCCCTATGGTCCTCTGAAACGACAGCAACTATACCTTTTACATGTGTGGGTAATATTCAACATGAAGCTGCACAGAGAGGGAAAGGAAAAACAGTGAAATAAATGGTCAACAATGCTTATAATTTGAATGTGTACCACAGTTACTGCTCAAGTGGAAATTGGTTTCTGTAAAAGTTTTACTGCTTGCAGTTCTTACGTAAATACTTTGATTGCTCTTCTGAAGCTTTGATTCTGGATTCATGACAGGCTATTGGGAACAGGCTGAATGAACTGTGTCACACAGAGAGTGAAAGCCCAGCAAACATATTGAGTTTCATTTATGATGATGAGACTAAACGAAGGTTGAGGAAAGAAGATGAAGAAGAAGACTACCTTGATGACAGTATGTCTGTGTTCTTTTATTTTAACAGTGGCAAACTTGCTGGAAAACTGAAATAAAAGCAAAATGCTCGAAGTACTCGGCATGTCAAGCAACAGCTCTGCAGAGAAGAACAGAATTAATTGTTTCAGATTGATAACCTATCATCAGAGCTGGAAAAGTTAGAGATAGGACAGTTTTTTTAAGCAAGTACAAAAGCAGGGCAGGGTGATGGGGTGTGAAATGGTGGTGGAAGATCAAAAGGGAAGGACTATTCTATGTGGTACCCAAGAGGGATGATCATACAAGGCAAGAGGGTTGGAAACGGATTAGTAAAGAAACAGAAGATGGGACCAGAATAAGTATAAATGAGAAAAGCAGAATATCTTCAACAGCTGCTATCCAAAATAAACATAATAGGCTCAGGAGTTATGATCTGCAGTGATTTAGTTCAGTGTTCTTGAGCCCAGAAGGCTGTAAAATGCCTAGTTGCAAGTCTAGTGTTGCTCCTTCACTCCAGCTACCTTTCATCTGAATCCTCTACTCATATCCCACTCTGATCTTTCTGTCCTCAGCCTCCTACACTGTGTCAATAGAATAGACTTTTGGAGAGCAAAAATGCTACACCTAGACCCCTCTTGGCATCCCTAGATACCTCCAATACTAGCTGAAATTTATCTCTGAATTTTTGGCCACCTTCTGCATCCTCCACAACTTGGCCTTCATGAGAGTGTAGCCCTTGTCACCAGAGTTTTGGCAATCACCTCGGGAGGAGAAGGAGGAAGATGATGATGATGATGGGAGGAGGCATCCAGCCCGTGATCTTTCTAGATAGGCTGTCCATTAACATGGAGCAGTTGCCATGAAAAGTGGCCAGGTCACTGTTGCTCCACACCTACATCTTCCCATTTGTTTGCAATTGCCAAAGTCTTGAAGTAACAGACATCACAGAGCTACTGCTCTGTATTCAATTTATCCAAAAACACCATCGTATTACATGAAATATTCAACTGTTCACCCTTGTGCTTTCTTTGAGCCTGTCTTGTGGATCCCTTTGCCTCACCTAGAGTTTCGGCACAATACTAACCCATGGCAGCAAGCCAGGAAGGCTTCTTACGTTCCCTTGAGGAGACTGCAGATGGCATTGTATGTCATCCTCCTGCAGCTCTGGGACCCTAGGACCTAGCTTCAAGCTGTACCTGTCTTGACATGGGCATCAGCAACATGGGCTGGCAACCCCTAAACTAGGTTCAGGGGTGAAAGTGAAATGGGTTGCAGAACGTGCAGAAGGCAGGAAAATAACTCATATTTGGTGGTAGAGCCTCTCTGATGGCCATTTCAATACTGTACAACACTGTGTACTTCATTGGGTGAAGATGAGGGTTTCTACTGTTGTTTCAGTATTGCTACCTTATAAAATGGACCACTTCAACCTGCAAAAGAGCATGAAGTATATGAGTGAGCATGTTTAGGTATGGCTTTCATTGCTGAATATTTAGGTGTAAGTGAAAGCTGAGAGATATGGGGCTAAGGATTGCAGCAGTGGTAAGTGTGTGAAGTTCAACTGGAGTGCATTTAAATTATATATGAGCCTGTATTGCTTAAAACAAAATTGTCAACGGTGAGGGCACGATGCATTGAGCTATATATGATGTTGGTGCTGGTGGGCTGTAGAAATTGACGAGCAGTTGATTGACCTTAGCCACTTGGTTGAGGTAATTGAACTTCTCCAAACACTGCCTCCAGCTCCTAAGATCCCATAGTTATGGCATTGATCTCCATTGCTATCTGCTCCCATAACCTTTGTATTGTCTGTCTAGAGTCTCAACCCTTGAAAACAGAGTATATTCTTTCAACCGTTTGCCTTGAGGCATCCATCAATCCATCAGAGAACCGAGGACCCGTTGCAATATTACTCGAGTTCTTCATACACTATAACTGTTTTCCAATCAGTTTAATGATCTTCGGTAGCCAAAGTGTTCCTACCCTTGAACATGCTGGCTTTAGAAGTGGAGATAAGCTTCAGTTGGTGTTTGCCTCACATGAATTTGATCCCTCCTGAGAGTACAGCCAACTATCATGTAAATGAGAAAGTGACACAAAGTACTTACTGCTTGCAATACTTTCAAATGATGCAGGTTAATTGAGTGTTGTTTTTCTCATGCCCATTTTTGAGTTTTATTCAGTTGTAGCCCAGAGGATTCTGTGCAAGGGCAAATTTTTTACCCTGTTGTGTTCTCTCTTCAGTTCAGGCTGTCAATTAGACTCTGAAACTCATCTGGAATCACATTGCTTACAATTACTACAGAGTTGTGCTATGAAATACTACTCTCATCTGAGAGATCTGGCATAAGAGAAATCTGACTTGAGGCATTTTCCATTGTAATGCGAAGTTACTTCTAGAAACTAAAGCATTCACGTGTCTCATAAGGCTAGTATTTTATTCTCAACAACAAAGTGCTTTGGGAAAAAGATACCCCTTCTGAATTTTGTATATTCCTGGAAACTATGGGGATTTTATATTGGGGAGTTGTATAAGGTATGCAGGTAATGTCGAATCTGAAATGGCTGAATTAATTCAGGAAATCAGGACAAAACCAACATTGAAAATTCAGAACTTGTATCTTAGCCATGAAAGTGCATTTTAAATAAATCTCTGAACTATAGAAATTTTCCCATGTTGCTTTGACTTGCCAGAGTACTGGTGTAGTGGGAGCTCAATTTATAGACTTTTCCAAATGAGGAGCCAGCGAGCTACTTCTTTGAGAAGGCTTGGAGAAATTAAATTTAGATTCTAGATGGTATGTGGTGGGAACATATTTCAAATAATAGGAGATTGGATTGAAACTGAACAGGAGCTGACTGCAGTTAAATGAATCGTATAGATCATAGCCCTTTACTTGTTCTTTCAATTCTAAGATCCTTATGAATACTGCTTTCGATTTTATTTCAATAGGGATGTGACAGTGTTATATATGTCCATGAAGATCATTTTAAATAACTACCACCAGGAAAATAAATACAACATAGCTTAATCAGTGTGGCTAAACATTTGATATATGACTTTTGATTCGGCGCAGGTGTCACATCAGTGTACAGTTATCCTGTATTCTTTTAGTTTGTTTGTTTACACACGTTAACAACCACAGAAATGTACAGGATTCTGAACTGGCAATGTACATTTGCACTTCTAAAAGAAACAAAATCAGATATGCATATATAAGAACAAGAGGCCAAATAGCTTTTGTAATTAATTTATAATAATAAAAAAAGTTAGAATGTCTATCCAGCAGATAAACTATTTCAGCTCAAGCTTTCAGGACAAATATGTGCCTTTAACTGAAAACTTTAACTGAAGCAAGACATTGCCACAAATGGTGAATGTAGCGAGGAATACCTATGCACTGGTGAGAAAATGCAGCAATGGGTGTACTTCTATTGGTGCTGGGATGATGATGTACTAATGAATACTTATGAGTTGGCCCTGGGGAAAGATTTTCCTGGGTTGCGGGATTATAGTTACGTAGATCGACTGGGGAAGCTCCTTGGAAAATGGCGGTGTTTAGGTAGAGTAACAAAAGAGAAACTATTCCTAGTGGCTGAAGAGTTGATAAACTGAGAGCACAGAATTTTAGTGATTAGCCAAAGAATAGATGACATAAGGAACAATTTTATGACAATGAGTATTTGGAATTGAAATGCTATATCTGATAAGGAAGTGAAAACACATTCATTAATTCTGTGGTAATTAAAACCCTCTTAAACTTCTCTGTTCCAAACCAATATTTCCTGACCTCCCATCATTCCAATGTTTTGACAGATACCGTTAATCCCACCAAATGTGGTTGTCCATTTGCATTAAAGATGGCAGCATGCCAACTTCTTCTAGAGATAACAACATTCCTTCGGGAAACCTTTCCCTGTTTGCCTCGACCACGTACAGAGCCTCTTGTTGTGAGTACTTTTAACAACTGTTTAGTACTGTGAGAAAAGCACCATGTCAAAGAAAATGTGACCAAGCCGCGCTACATTAAAGTCCAGAAGACAGAAAAACAAACACCAATTTCATGTAGTTTCTACTTAAATCACAATAAAATAAACACGTCAAAAACATGAGAACTTTCCACTCAGTTCTGTTGATTAAAAATAGTGCTTTCCATGTTTATCTGAATGATGTCTATTTCCTTACAACAGGATTTGGAAAGCTGCCGACTCCATCTGGATCCTGAATTAGATCGACATAGATATGAACGGAAAATCAGTTTTGCTGGAATTATTGACGATGAACAAGATTCAAAGGATTCACCTCACAGCAGCAGTCATACCCTCAAGTCAGATACAGCCTGTGAAGAGAAAAAAGGTCAGAAAGGAACTTTTTTATTATTATTTAGAAATAGTAATTTTTAATTAAGAATAACTACAACCTAATTATAATATCTTATTAAGACCTAACTGTAAGCAAGTTCTTGCAGTACATGAGGCACTGACCATTGCAGTTACTTTAACTTAGCACTCAAACCAGTGAAACTGTCTACAAATGAACAGGATGAATAATACACTTGCCCAGTCCTAATTCTTCAGTTACTGCTCATCAGGAATTACTACGGTTTTTAAAATACAGTAGCTCAATTTACTGCCAGTGGCAAGATAAAACACCCAATCAAACATTACGTGGTGTCCTCTTAATATTTGAGGTGGAGTGTGCTACAAGCTGGTGTTATAAGCAGGAATAGAATTGAAAAGGAGACTAAGGCTACTCTATTGCATAGAGTGTAAATTGCTTAAAATGTTGAAATAGCACAAAAAAAAGACTGCTTCTGGGCTACAACGATTTAAATTTCTACATCAGAGAGGTACTTTTTAAATATGAAAATGACTCCATGAATTTGATGTAAGTCATCAATTGCAAACGATGCACATATTTCAAAGAGCAAGAAGGGAGCTCCAAAATTCAGAGGAAGTTCAATGCAGCTGGATAGGACTCATATATAGCAGGAACCAATGGTAATTTTATCCTTGTCAGAAAGTAACATTCTCCAAGACAGTGATAACTTAAGTCTATGTATTTTTTTCAAAATATTTAGAAAACACAGTTCATAATATTTAGTTTAGACAGCATACAATGGTGTGTAAAGTCTTACAAATTTCTCCCAGCCAAAGGCATCTTTGGCAAGAATTTTTATTTTTCAATTTCTAGTGTTTGTACATTTTCATGTAATCAAAGGGATTAAGTTGCTTATCTCAACAGACTAGTCCATTCAGTTAAACTGCATCCGTCCAAATGCTTTAAACTCCTAGTAGAGTACTGATAATGCACAAAACAATATTGAATTTGCAAGTGAAAACCATTGAAAACATTTTGAAAACTTGGAGCCAAGGGAGAAGATTCCACACTGAATTTTGAAACTATGTGAAAACCCATTGCCTGACAGTGGGTCCTCCATAAGATCAACCCAGAGATAGACCAGCTTGGCACATCTGTGCAACTAAACACAGGCATGCTTTCCACGCAAGGCAAAGATTGGCTTTATGACAACTGTGTCACCGTCCCAATGCTTTGAAGAACGATTTACATATCTGAAGCAAGCTATTGGCAGCATCCAGGAAATTGGTGCTCGTGCATTTCATTCCCTTTTGTAAAACCATTTGTTACGTTCAACTAATCTGCCATTAAACAGTGTTCTCACCTGCTCCATTAAAAAGCACCTGTGTGGTCCAAAATTTTTAGTCAAACTTATTCTTCTGCCTTTAACTTGGTTACTTTTTGTCTGTTTATGCTTTTGATCATTGCCTTGGGATAATTGTCTATATTAATTGTATTACCAAAATGCTAGTTGAATAAAAGAATTTTCTGTAAATATGCTGAGTGTGCTTTCTCTATTATCACAAATAGAAGTGTTTAGCTATTATCTTTTTACATTAATTTTGTCCCCTTACAAATATAGAGCACTGTTCTACCTCCTGGTCAATTATATAATGAGAATTGAATTTAAAGACACCTTTAATTATATAAACCTTTATTTAAATAAATATACTATCATATTATTTGAATGGTCAATTTTATTTTAAATAGTATTAAATAATGTTTCTTCTTCAGATGAGATATAGTTTGGGAATTTGAAATTCCTTTTGTTTTTAACCCGGAGTTTAGAAAAATTCCAACAGAATAACTTCCCACCCCAATCAGTTGTGTAGTCCCACTTAATCCGTAAAATAGTAATTCTCATTTGCTTATCAAAACTGGTAAATAATTGATGGTTTGCCTTCATTTTGTGTAAGACATTGGTGTCAGTAGTACTGCAATTTGCAATATGTTGTATCATTATCTTAGGGCCGAGCAGAAAAGGAAGACCAGGAGGCTCACGCCTACTTCAGATAAAGGGGGCACGAAGCTTTCGAATAAAGAAGGGTGGTTCTTTGTCAAGCATACGCCGAGCTGGAAGCTTGAAGAGCACAAAGCTTTCACGGCAGGACTCTGAGTCAGAAAATGAAGAAGTTCTATTATCTCAAAGCCATGACACAGTTACTGACATTGGTAGTTTCTCAAGATATATCTATCTTCAAGCTATTAAACGCATGTTACATTTAGTGTGAAAATATTGCACTTTGATTTTTCTCCCTGTTTTAACAGGCAGCCCCTGGAGTACAAGTGAACCTAGTATTGAGCCAGAAGGTTTGAGCACAGTAGGAACAGAAGAAAATTACCATAGAAACATGACATGGTTGCCAGTATGTTTAAAGGATTTTTATTCGTATTTGCACCTATTTCAGGAGTGTCAAACTTGAAAGTCATTGCTTGTATGTGAGCCACAAATCATAGTAATGTGCAAAAAGGGATGATTATTAATAGATAACACATATGTTTGAATCATTATTTGTTTTACTTGCACGGACACTCCACTGAGTACACATTACGCTCTTGCTTTCTACAACAAAAATCACAATTGTGTATATACAGTGCATTAAAATATTCCACTTGGCTTTGCAGAGATATTATAAAACAAAATATGACACTGCATAAGGAAAAATTCATGCAGAAGACCAGGAGCCTATTTCAGCTTTGTTTCAGGGAAAGGGTTGTAATCAGTGGTTAAGGTACAGGACTTTTGGAAGCGACAGAAGGGAATGGTTCTTGTGTTCCTATTGTTCAATTGGAAGAAATTTCTGCTCATTCCATGCTGAATGTCTGACAAATAGGCTAACAATTTGGAGATAATAGAAAAGTTGAGAGACCATGGTGGTGACAAAGTTGTGCCAAGTGTCAAGCAGATGTTCATGTCTGTGGAAACTTCTCTGTTTTGGGCTAATGCCTCCTAGGGGCAGCATGTAGATGAGAAAAGGAAGGGCATTGGATAGATCATTTGGGGGACACCAGAGAAAATTGTGCAGGAGCCAGAAGGGAAGCCATTGCAAATTTTTCTCTGGCTGCAGTTTAATATGAATGAATCCAGGACAATGCAGCACCACACAAGAGGACAATGGGAGTGGTATTGGAGGACGATCGTGTTATCAAGTATGTCAAAGATTGAAAAGGATAAAGGTGAAATAACAGCACAGAGACTGGTATCCCATCAGCCAAGTCACCCTTTATTTACTTCTGCACAGTAAACTGGCTATGGCCAACCAGCTTGGAGTCAGTCCTCTGAACTGAGGAGATTCTAAATTTCCTGTTTATATTGGTCAGCTAGAGGTTTCCTGATTGGCCCAGGTTAACAACCCCAATCCAGGACCTTGTAATCAATGAGGTCCACCTGGTTCCAGTCACTACATCCCTCCACCTCCCCCGCACCCTGCCCCCAGCACGCCAAAACCTCGAAAGTCCAGGGATGTAGGCCTGGGGTCTTTCTCTTGTAGCTGCTTCTGCGATGTTTTCCCTCCAGGTCCAGTTCCTCTGATTCAGGCTCTGGCACGGGTGGCATATTCTGGACCATATCCTGTCTCTTCTGCCTGGAGCATCTCAGGTTTCCTCCTCGATATTAAGGCTGCATCCATCTTGGACTCCAAAGTTTCCTTGACAGTAGATGTAGGGGGAGAACCTATGGTTTCTGACAGGCCTTCTGGCTATTCTGAGGGGCCAGGTATGTTTTGCTCCTGGCTTGTTTGTGAGGTAACAGCTTTCAGGTGATCTTCAATTTGCATATCTGATTGCAAGTACTGCATTTGACGTTACGTTTGGAGGCATTAACTTTATACTGCACTTACTTGCCCTGTTTCCATTTGACTGTTCTGAAGAAAGAGAAGTCTCCATTTGAGTTTGTCTGAGGTTGTTTGTTCAGTCCAAGATTTTCACATTGCCTTATTACCTAAGTTTGGGAGGTTACGTGCAGTGAGCTCCCTAACACTACTGGTTGTAGAGCACTGTCATTTTGCTATGTGGGAATCCTGCATGTTTGTTCAGGCCAGCCTCACCTACCCAAACGTTGTAACTCATGGGTCCTGACCTCACATCCATCTCATCTTGTACCCATACAGGGCCATTTCTATGGTTCCAGCACCAAGCTTTGTTCCCCTCGAATTAAATGATCTCTCAGCATCTCAATCAGAGTTAATCCAAAATCATATGCCTCTAGCAATCATCTTAGCCTTGTCAAAAATCTGGATAAGGCTTCCCCTGGTTCTCCAAGTCCTGTTGAAGGGTGTAAACCTGAAACATCAACTTTCCTGCTCCTCTGATGCTGCCTGACCTTCTGTGTTCCTCCAGCTCCACACTGTATCGACTCCGACTTCCAAAATCTGCAGTTCTTGCTACCTCCAAATAAAACCAATAGCTTCTCAGGATTAGAAGAGGTTTGGGTCATAACATTCCTTAACCAACTTGGTCAACTCTAGGAAGGTTTTAGTGTCTGGTGCCTCTGGGAGAGTTAAGCCCCTTATAACCGAAAATGCTGCAGGTCGGGAAGCAGTAAGAAGGGTTCATCGTTGCTTTTCCTAACGTCATTAGCCTGGAAAAAATTTCACATTCTTTCCACGTACTGGGCCCAGTCTTTGACAACAAGATCAAATGAGTCAACCTTCCCAAATAAAAGTATGGTGCTAAAAGTGCTTACCCCAACTTCAAGATGACAATTACAAGTTCACGTTCTTCAGGCACATACTGTTATATCTCTTTACCTCTGAAATAACCACACAGAGGCTGGTATCCTGTCAACAAGTCACTGTTTATTTACTTGTGCATGTAAACTGGCTATGGCCGACCAGTTCTATGTCAGTTCCCTGAAGTGAGGAAATTCTAAATCCTCTGTTTATATTGGTCAGCCAGGGATTCCTAATTGGCCCAGATAAACAACTTCAATCAAGGATCTTGTAGTCAACAAGGTCCACCTGGTTCCAATCACTACAGTAAGGTTCATTTATCTTTGTGGAGATGTCATCAATAACCTTGTTGAGACTTGTCTCAATACCGTGGCAGCAGCAGACACCTGATTATACGGATACAAACATACAATTGCAGGAAAGATTTTGGCCAAGGTTTCACATTCAGCAATGAGATAAATAACCAGTTGTACTTCCTTTTGATATCATGAATGTTCCTGATATAGTCAGAATTTAGCAATGTCATTGGAATGCAACTGAGCAAGAGCGAGAAACGCAGGATGGAATAACGTTTGCAATTTATTCATGAGTTGAAGGGAAAAACAACCAGAATCTAGAATTAGGATTTGGAGTGATGACTGAGCAATTTTACAATCTTAATGAAGTACATGTCTTTTTCTTTTTTTTAACTGAGATTGATGAATTCTTCCGCCAATTCAATAGATGAATATTGACAAGATCAGCTTACAATCTAGGTTGATGTTATCTCATGTCTTTTTTTAGACCTAGTCTCAAGTTACAGTGCCAGTTGCAAATACTGCAATTGATGTTACATTTGGAGGCATTAACTTTGTGCTGCACTTACTGCCCTGTTGTCATTTGACTGTTCTCTGTTTGAAGAAAGAGAAGTCTCTATTTGGATTTGACAAAGGTTGTTTTTTCACTAGGTCAGCTTTGCAAACTCCAAGATTTTCAGATTGCCTTCTTATCTAAGTTTGGGAGTTTCTGTGCAGTGCTTGCACTGCTGGCTGTACAGCACTGTCTTTTTGCTATGTGGGAATCCTGCGTGTGAACTAGACAACCTACACAGTGAAGCTGTTCTCTGACAAGCATGCTGACAGTGCAGTGTAAGCAGCACTTAGCAAGCATGACAGTTTTGTCATGTCATCAGATCTTATAAATAGATCTCAGATAGTTAAGTTGGAATGCTTCTGCTCATGTATTGCCAGTGTGTTGAACAATTAACACATGCATAAAAAATGATTTGTCACTGCCTGGTTGAATCTACGAGACAATGTTCATGCTCTTTCCAAAGTCTGACGGTGAGGCTGAAATGCTGAGCTTGCTTTTACCAGGCAGTGGTTGACTTTGTCATAGTGCTATCGGAGAGGATACTCCCAAGATAGCAAGACCCCTGTCCTGAACAAAATTGTGTGTTGTTGATAGCGACTATGGTGCTATGGAGCAGGAGGTAGGGTGATGCCAGATCACTGTCTCCTTCAAAAGTACTGTCAGGGCAAAGTATTCGAAGGCTACGTTAAAGTGATCAAAAGCAGCTGAATGACTTCCAGAGTAAATCATCCATGAATAAGAGTTTATTCAGTAGCTTCTCAATAACTTTTTTGCAAGCCTTGAGCCTTTGCAAGTTGGGCTACCATTTGTCCTGAATTGAATGTACACTCCTGTGTCAAAATCTTTATGTACGTACTGGAGCGTGGCTGAGAAGTATAAGGCAATCAGAGTTGGAGCCAATACATATCTGAGCTTGGTGCTGGTTATGACAGGAAAGGCATCAAGTAACAAACCAGTTTGCATGCTATTTGTTACCATGCCATCATGAAATGAGTGAATGACATTGATTATCTATTCAGAGCAACCATATTTATGGAGAACCTTTCACAAGCCTTTCCAGTTTACTCTATCCAAAGCCTTGATTAGGTCAAGAAACAATATATGGAATTCCTTGTTCTGTTCACAAGACTTTGCCTGAATTTGAGTTGCTGTAAAGATCATGTATACTCTTTCCCGAAATATATCAGAAGCAGCATTGAGATTCTGGATGTACAGAGTCAATGAGGTGAGTGACAGCCTCATAAAGAAGGATCCTTCCAAGAGCTTTATCCTGGTATCGAAAGATGTGATATTTTACAATGATTGTCAGGTTTGGATTTGTTTCATTTCTCTTTGTGAAATTAAGGCATTCTTGAGGTCTTAGGACTCAGCTCCCTGGTTCTAAATAAGGCAGAGGGGGCTAGTGAATTTCTTAACCATGACTGTCCCTCAAACATGAATATTTCAAGTGGGATACCATTAGTTCCCATCAGTTTACCCAAATAAAGCTATTTTATTGGCTTTTGTGACTTCTGCTTGAGCAGGATCAAGAGCAGGTTCTTCAAGAATGCAGTGCTGTAGTAGTGACAAAGCGGTATCATTGCATACTATGGACTGTAGGTTTAAGAAATTTATGAAGTGCTCTGTCCAACAAGAGAGAATGTTATAGCAATTTTGAGCTGGTTGCCATCAATGATATGCTTAAAATCATGAAGGATTTCTATGGATTTTAAAAAAAAGTAAATGGTTTTCTGTGATAATACAGTATGGAGCTAGAGAAGCACAGCAGGCCAGGCAGCATCGGAGGAGCAGGAAAGTTGATGTTTCAGGTCGGGACCCTTCTTCAGAATTTCTGAAGAAGAGTCCCGACCCAAAATGTCAACTTTCCTGTTCCTCTGATGATGTGCTTCTCCGGCTCCATACTGTTATCTCTGACTCCACCATCTGCAGTTCTTGCTATCTCTGAATGGCTTTCTGTGGCTGGAAAGCCAGTCACTATTTGGCACATATTTAAGAGGTTTGGCAAAAGGCAGCATCGGGGCTCCTTTATCAGGCTGGCATGGTGGCAATCAGTTGGCACAGGTGGTTAGCGCTGCTGCCTCACAGTGCCAGGGACCAGGGTTCGATTCCAACCTTGGATCACTGTCCGTGTAGAGTTTGTGTGTTCTCCTCGTGTCTGCGTGGGTTTCCTCTCACAGTCTAAACTTGTGCAGGTTAGGTGGCTGGCCATGGTAAATTGCCCTATAGTGTCCAGGAATGTACAGGCTATGTGGATTAGCCATGGTAAATGCAGGGTTACAGGGACAGGATGGGGGAGAGGGTCTGGGTTGGATGCTCTTAGGAGAGTCAGTGCAGTCTCAATGGACCACATGGCCTCTAACTTTACTGTAGGGATTCTATGATTCTATGAAACAGAGATGATAAATAGAGAAATGCTTCACAGCATGTGATATGTTTGAAGCAGATTTCATAAAAGAATTATATATTGTGACTGCTGGAAATCTGACAAAATAAATGTGAAAACTCAGTCACTTTGGCATGAAAACTGATCACCCTGAAAGATTAATTCTATTTCTCTCTACACAGCTGCTGGTAGACCTGCTAAGTATTTCCATCATTATCTGAAACTGATTCAATGGGAGCTTTCAACCTATTTTCTCCTAATCAACCTGTTCAGAGTTGTAATTATATACCTCTGGAGCAGGTGGGATTTGAACCCAGATCTAGGGGCAGGGACAGTACCACTGTGCCACAAGAGGGCCCTGCAATGGTAAATTGTATGATTTTGTGATGAAGATGTTTAACTTTGTGTTGTCAGATCTTTTCCAAGTTGGCTGTTAATCAGATGAAGCCATTTTTCTGTATTTTCTACTAATGCTGGCTTCCTGTTCTTCAGGTTATGATCTTGCTGTGCAGCCAACAAAGCTTCATCTGCTGCCATATTGATTACTGCCACCCTCGCTGTTATCAGCATCACAGCCGCTCTTGCGCTCGGCTTGTGCGGGCAATCAAGCTCCTATATGGAGACACTGTGGATTCAGTCCGAGATGATGACACTACCAGCAAAGTGGGCTTGAGGGCCAAGAAATCAAAAGAGGTATTAATAACTCTTCAGCTCTATTCGTTTTTGGATGCAGAGGTTCTGCTTACCTGTGTTCTTGCTGCTAACTTCCTTTATTTTTTAGTGGTGCCTTTTTGACATTTGAACTTAACATAATAGCGAACATCATGTTTGGATGACTGTTTCAGTTTTGATCCTACATGTCATTTGAAGGAGTGGTTCATTTTTGGAAGTGTCGTTTCTTTTCTTCTGATTCCATAGCAGTTAGCAAAGAAAGATGAGGGGCTGCCTTGGTTGTTGGCTGAGATTTATCCTTAAGAAATCCAACCAAAAACAAATTAACAGGCCATTTATCTTGGTACAGTTTATGTGAGCTTAACTGTACAAAATGATGGTGGTACTCAACTAGTGTCCCTGAGGCCTGGACTAAATCATCGAATCCCTACAGTGAAGAAACAGGCCCTTCGGCCCAACAAGTCCAGACTGACCCTCAGAGAATCCCACCCAGACCCATTCCCCAAACCTACACATCCCTGTACACTATGGGCAATTTAGCATGGCCAATCCACTTAACCTGCACATCTTTGGACTGTGGGAGGAAACCCATGCAGACACGGGGAGAACGTGCAAACTCCACACAGACATTTGCCCGAGGGTGGAATGAACCCAGGTCCCTGGAGCTGTGAGGCAGCAGTGCTAACCACTGAGCCACCATGCCACTGTTAAGTTTTAACTTCAAATCTGATCGTGTCAACTATGGGCAAGGAAGCCTCCTTGACCTTATCTTCACTAAAGTAACTTATCATTTGTCCAAGACAGTACAGTTATGAATGAGACTGCATAATACTTATGGAGACAAAGCTGCACAGTGTGAATTCACATTAAAGAAACCCTCTATTGTGTTGTGTGGCATTAACACTGTCTAAATCTCTGAATTTAGCAATGGATTAATTGCCCAAGGATGAGCATCCATGAGGTGCTATGGTCCATCAGCAACAGAAGGATAACATTACACTGCAACCCACAACCTCATAGCCCTTCGTTAACCTTTGTTCACCTTCGTTCTGCCATTACCCTCAAGGCAGGAAACCAATTTTGGTACAATGCTAGGAGTTAGTACCAGTAATACTTAAAAATGAGTTGTAAACCTGCTGAAGTTGCGACGTAAAACATTGGAGCATAGTTAGGCCACTCAGCCAATTGAGTCCGCTCTGCATTTCAATGTGCTCATTGTTCTGATAATCCTCAACTCCATTTTCTTACCTTTCTCCCATTACCCTTGATTCCCTGACTGATTAAAAATCTGACTCTCTCAGCCTTGAATATATTTGTTGAGACAGCCTCAACAGCACGCTGCAGTAAAGAATTCCACAGATTCACTATTCTCTCAGAGAAGACATTCCTCCTCATCTCTATCTCAAATGTATCATCCCTTGTTCTGAGAATTTGCCCTCTGGTCCAAGGCTCTCCCATAAGGGGAAACAACCTTTCTTCATCTACCCTGTTAAGTCCCTCCCTAAGAAGTTTGAATATTTCAATAAGGTTCCTTCTCATTTTTTCGTATTCCAATAAGTGTAAACCCAATCTCTTTAACCTCTGCTTAAATGAAAGTCCGTCTAATACCTAATATCAGGCAGAGGACTAGATAAATACTAAATGACAAAAGTGACATAGTATAAACAAAGATAAGCAATCCCGCAACCAATGGATCAGATTAAAGTTCTGCATATCTACCACATTCAACCATGGATATTGGTGAACAATTAAAAAAAACTACATGGAGAAGGAAGCTGTCATCATCTACTTCCTCAAAATTAAATCTGGAACTCTGTCATATTGGCATGGAAAGAAGATTAGCTGGCTAATGGGAGACAAAGAGTATGCATAATTGGGTCCTTTTCAGATTGGCAAGATATGACAAGTGGATGCCAAGGGGGATTGGTGATGGGACCTCAAATGTTTACAATTTATATAAATGACTTAGATGAAGGGGCAGAAAGTATGGTTCCTGAGATAGATAAATTCTCAATCAGTCAAGGAATCAAGGGTTATGGGGAAAACATAGGAAAGTAGATGTAAGGAATATCGGATCAGCCACCATCCTATTGAATGACGGCCAGCTCAAGGGGCTGAAAGACCAACTCCTGTTCCTGTTTCTTATGGTCTTAAGGTCGTGCCAAATTTGCTAAAGATAGGTGGGAAATTAAGTTGTGAAGAGGAGGCTACACAGAGATATAGATAGTTAAACTTAGCAGACAAAGATGTGGGAAATGTGAAATTCTCCTTTTCAATAAGAAGGAAGAGAAGAAGCATTTACCCAAATGGTTTTCTTCCTCCGTCCTCACTATTCAAGGCCCGAGGCACACCTTCCAAGTGAAGCAGCGATTACTTGCACTTCACTCAATCTGGTATACTCTATTCGCTGCTCATAATGTGGTCTCCTCTGCATTGGGGAGATGGAGTTACAGACTGAGCAACTGCTTTGTGGAGCACCTACATTCTCTACACCACTCTATTCCCGGGCCAACATCTCTGCCTCAGGCTTGTTGCACTGCTAGCTGCAAGAACAGTATCTCATTTTCCACTTGGGGCCTGAACACCATCTTCCATGTCCTTCCCTCACCCTGACACCCCAGGCCCATGGGATGCTTTTATCACAGCCAACAAATTTTCACCCCCAAATGGTCTCTTTTTCTTTTCCTAAGCTCACCGTTATCCATTCCTTTGTCTGCCCAGCTGCTGATCTGTCTCTCTGGGCTCCAACTCCATCCATTGTTTACTGATCTTCCTTCCGAAATACCCCACCAAAATCTTCAGCATATATACCAACATTTGCCCAACTACAATCAGTTATGAAGAAGGGTCACTGGACCCAAAACATTGATTCTGCTTTTTTTCCGCAGATGCTGCTATTTCTGTTTTTGTTTCAGATTTCCAGCATCCTCCGTTCTTGTCATTTTTTTTCCCCAAAGGTCAACACATTCAACAATTGATTTTAAAGTGTAATTAAATACTAATAGATTATCTTTTCCTCTCCAGTGCTCTGAGAAGTCATGCTTACGTACACCTTCTTTAAAAAAAAGAATACCTGTTACAAGTTTGGAAGGAAAAAAGGATTCTGGAATGTTGAAATATATTAGGACTCAGGTATGGTTATAAAAGTACTTGCCGCTCTTTTGTTTTGTTGTTCTGGGACTAAAATCTGATGCATGCATGTAATTTAATCACTGATTACTCAGTCAAGGTGCAACAATTTGTACCCTTCGACCACTCTCAAAACAAGCTCCAGCAGTAACCATGAGCTATAATCCTCTGGTACAGTAAATTTATATTATTCTTCCTCATATTTTAATGCTTTCAAGGATCTAGCTTCACCACACCCCTACTTCTGTTATTACCTCCAAGTCTACAACTTGCCCCTCCCACTCCCTCCTGGAACAGTCCCAAACCATATTCAGGGCACTTGACCAAGCACAACTTCATTACTTCTTAGATATCAGTCACGTGTAGGAACACTGCTGATCACTTCCCTGTATTGCTGTCCACCTATATCCCCCTACCCCCTCACATCATTCCCTTTTTGTGTCTCCCTCTGGAAAATATCCTGCCCCAATCTGCTTACAACTAGGCATTGAAGATCCTTGCTCGATCCTGAGGGCCACCCACCTTTCTGCTGCTGATGATCTGCACAGCCACACCCTCACCTCAATCTTTGATGCCCTTGACCCCATTAAAACTTTACTCACTGTCTTTCACCATGGCTGTTAATCCTAGCATAGCCCTTAAGTCTATTATGCCATTCAATGGGATTATAGCTGATCTTTGACCAACTCATGGAGTCACAGAGTTGTACATCTTTGTCCTTAAATGCCAGTAATTCTTTTGGTTAACACAAATCTATCAATCTCACCATGTGAGACTATTTTATCATTTCACTTGTGAAAAGCCTGGTTCAAATTGTGATGTGAATCAACGTTGCTCTTGACTTTCTAATACATGGGTAGAGTTCTTTTCGGCTACCCTGTTTATTTCCCTTAAACCACCAGCCGGAGAATCGCCTCTGTTGTAACTGAGATTGGAGTGGTGCACTGATTCCTTTCCAGACCCACCCGTCACTGCCCCTAATACATTTTAAACTTAACCAAAGTGCCAATGTGGACAATTATACACATTTTAGATTGTATCTTGTTTAGTATTAGAAATAATTTAGCTGTGTTTCTTCAGTTAAAGTATCACAAGTTTAAAACAAATAAAATTTTAACACAAATAGAAGTCAAACAACATGCAAAGATGATTAACAAAAAAGCATTTAAATTGTGCAAAGATAGATTTGATTTGCATCCCAAACTTAACAATGAGGCAATTACGGACAACAAACAAATTGTGGTTGAACACCCCATAGGAGACATCAAATAACAAATACAATTAAGATGGGCCCCATGGATTTCTCAACAATCACCCCTAGATGTTAGTGACACTATCAAATCTAATTAAAACTTTCCAAGAACGGCGAATTTGTACACTTTTCGCTGTACTCCTGTATTCCTTTAATCAAGTACGTGTGCGAATAAAATCTAAATTTAAGGAATTATCACTCTTCACTTTTGATGACCCACCTAGAAAGTCCCTCCAAAGCTGCTTTGTTATGGAAGGTCTCAATGACTGCTCACATTCTGGTGGCTCAGCTTCCTTTCCCAGGGCTGCAAACTGCAGACTCTTTCAAACTGCACTCCACTGCTTATTCACAGGCTGACCTCCAGTTTTTTCACAAACGGAGAGCCTCACCAACCCCGTAGGGTTTTATTTCCTTAGTTCTAATCTCGCTGTATTGCATAAAGCAAGCAGATGTGTGGCTTCCTTCACGCTCTCTCACAGTCGCACAGAACTATTAAAGGCGCACGGTTTCTCCCGAACTCTCCACAGCTCCTTGGACTGTTCCAAAACCCTGACACTAACACTTAGCTGCCTACTAACTCCTCGAACTTCTCCCCAGATTCCAAAAGCACAGACCATTTTGATTTCTCATGGAGCCACCAACTTCACAGATCCAATGCAGGTCAATTGATGTCAATGTAGCTTTCCAGCTACATCATACTTTCCTGTATGTACATTGCTCATGACTCTGTCTATTTTCTTTATCTAGCTATTGCCCAGAACTACTCTTTGAGTGACCCAAAGCTGGTTTGAGTAGCTGACTGAAAATCTTATGATAGCTCCGCCCTTATATCTAGGGCAATATGAATGCAACTAATGTTTTGGAATGGCTGGGATGGTGGTGGTGGTGGGAAAGCAGTTAAGAAATCAGGCAGGGGAGAGGTGAGAGAGATTGGGACCAGAGGACCAGGTGGAGAGGCAGAGATCCTTAGGACCTGGGAATATGGGGCAGAGATCAGGATCTGGGAAGGAAGGGTAGGGGAGAGAGCCGGTGGTGGGGTGGGAGTGGGAGTATGATGTGGAAGGGAGACAGCTAGGAAGAGGTCCTCCCAGCTCCTGGCTCCCATTGTTGACCCTTCCCTCACCCCTGGTTTCTCGGCCCTCTTCCCATCCAACTCCAAGGCTCCTCTCTTTCCCAGCACCCTCTCCCTACCATTAAAGCCCAGTTCAAAATCGTGCACACTTTCCTGCACATGCGCAGTAATGCATTTGTGCATTTTTGCCCCATGGAAGTCTATATGATGATATTACTGTTTAGAACCATGCATTGCGAATGAGCACATATGCATAGTTGCCTACAATTGTCGGTGTCAGCAAACCCTGCCTTTGGAACAGTCATATGTAGCAATCAGCTGTGGCACTCAAATGCAGAAACGCTTGGAATTTTCTGTCATCTCAATATTAACGTTCAACAAATGCTAGGTCTGACCTCACAGAAATACTTGCAAAAATAATCACACTTAGAATGGCTTCCATACACAGCATAAACTCTGTTCCCTAACCATTGACAACATCACCCTCCTTTGTGACTGACGAAGGCTGAACCAGACTATTTGTGGTTTTGATGTCATGTTTGACCCCAAGATGAACTTTCAAACATATATCCATATGACCTCTAAGGCTACCTATTTCAACCTTTGTAACATCGCCCAACCTGACCTATGCATGAGCTCATCTACCATTGAAATTGTATTTCAATGATTCCTCTCTTCCATCAATTTGAAGCCATTCAAAACTCTGCAAGTCCCATTCAACAATATCCCAGGTGCTCTGTTACCTGTATTGGCTCCTTTTTAAAGCAATATTCTGGGTTTTATAACTGTTGTACAAAGGAATGGCTCTGTTGGTGTTAATGTTACATTGGTTACACTTTTCTACTGATGTCAAACACACTCTCTGGCTGGAAACAAAGAGTTCTCGAGCTTTTCAAAGGAGCAGATGTATCTGCACCAGCTCCCGAAAGTCCTAGTTATTTATGTCTGACCAAATATAGTTGTAATTATTGCTTTCATGGAAGAAACCTTGTTATTTAATAACAGTGCCTATTCTGTAGATAATCTCAAGTGGTGTGTCCTATACCACTAATCACTAGGTACATCCAAGACCAAGGTCATGAATAATGGATAAGTAACAAAAGTAATACTTATCAAAAGTTGGGAAATTTTACTGACTTTTATTGACTCAGTGTGAGTCTTGCCTCCAGATTAAATCTTGGGTGGGTCTCCCCTCTCTGTCAATTTGGATTTGGAAATCTCTTTGTCTTGCTGTTCATAATTTAGCTTGCAGTGTTGCAGCAGGATAATATGGCATTATAATACAAAATATAACAGAGTACTCTCAGTTCACATGCTCATAAGTAGCAAAAGTGAAAGAAAGATTACGTAACTACAAAACTAATTGATACGTAGGACTGTATTATAATTTGAAATAAATTGGCTGTTTTTAGGCACAGCTGTGCAACTAACAAGCTACTGCCATATTAAAAGAACTGTCTAATATAAGGCACACAACTCCAGGCTAAAGCTTCTGTCATTAACTTTCCTTTACATATACAGTTTTAATGACCTAGGAGGTTACAGTGACTGAACACAGCTGCAGATACTGTACCATTTGAAATTTACTGTCTTCACAGTGATACCTCTATAATTAACCTTCAGATTGTAGCTCTGTACATACTCCTAGGCTATGCAATATGCTTCAACTATCAGATAAGAATGCATCTACATCTTCATGGACAAAGATGCAGCCACATGAGAGCAGTTTCTGACACTGAGTAAAAGTAAACAGACTCAGCATTAGGCTGAATGATGAATAAAATTTGGATATTATGTACGACTCTGATTATGTTTAATTACAAAATGCCATACAATACTGACCATAAGAGGTGCAATTGTGTAATTTTAGGCTGTAGATAATGCTGCTACCCAGTTAACTTGAAGAATTATTTCATGTTGCTCTTTGTTGAACCTATGGAAGTGGATCATAATAAAGGTAAAGTTGCTGTAGTCCTACTGTACCATGGAGCTGCTGTCTCATCAGAGAGATGGAGAAAGAGAGAGAGATATGCCTGGTGGTGGTTTAACCTGAGGGTCACCATGTCTCAGGTAGGGGGAGAAGTTGAGAAGGAGAGTCCTTCATGTAACCTCAGCCAGAGCAGGAATTGAACCCATGCTGTTGCCATTAGTCTGATTGCAAAATACTAGTGACCAAACCATCTGAATCTTGTTTTAAAAGTATTGATGTCTCTAATTGCAACTTGGAATGTCCTCAACATAGAAATTAACGAAGGTTCTCTCACCAACATGCTGTATCCATTAAAATTTGGTTTGAAGTTTATAATATTTTAACATCACCCTTTGTCTAGTGTGGTCAAAATTGCCCCTAGTATAACTGCAGCTTAAAATATTTCTGTTTTTTGCCTAATATAGGTGATGAGCCTGTCTCCTGCCCCGCTGTCTTTGTTGATCAAAGCAGCTCCTATACTGACTGAAGACATGTACGGTGACATACAACCTGCAGCTTGGGAACTTCTCCTCAGTGTGGATGAACACATGGCTGCAGCAGCTGGTAATGTAAATTCAAACATGAGGAAATTTACTGTACTGCTTCTGCACCTAATTAAAGGCTTCAAGGAGATGCCTTCCATTAGTTTCAAGAACAAGATCTTTGATTGGAGTTTCTGCTGTAGCATAGAGTCATTTGGCACAGAAGTAGGCAATATGACCCATTGAGTCCATGACTGCTCTTTGTAGAGTATTCCGGTCAATCGTATTCTCCAACGCTATAGCCCTACTCGTAGATTTCACAACAAAGCACATCTACTTTACTTCTGAAATCATCAGTTATCTCCATTTGCCCAAGTCATCATCCTCACTGTGTAAAAACATTCTTCCCGGCAGCCACCTTGCTTCTCCTATACAGAACCTTATATCTATTCTTGTATCGTCAGCTAATGGTGTCAGCATTATGTCTGTTATCTAAATCCATCATAATCTTCTACATCTCAGTCAAACCATCTTGCCATCTTTGCTCCAAAGAGAACTGATTCAACTTCTCCAAACTACTGTTGTAGCTGAAATCCCTCTTCCATTTTGATAAATGCCATCTGCATCCTCTCAAGGACACATATCCTTTGTAATGTGTGCTGATCAGAGCTACAGGCAATATTTGAGGTCTAATCAATGATTATTAAGGTTCAATATAATTTCTCTATGTATAAAATACTGCCATTGATGAAGTTTAAGATTACACACATAATTGGTAAATACTGTCTCCATATGTCCTTCCGCTTTCAAAGATTGTTTTCACAGAAAACATCAGGGCCCAACGTTCCTGTATGCTCTTTCGATCTGTGCACTCAGTCGATATCGATACTCTTCATTGTTTCTGCCAAAACCAATCACCTCACAGGGGAGATAGTTGAGGTAACATGAGGGATGAAAATTGAATGGGAATATTTAATCAAAAGACTATCTATATTCCGTTGCCGAATGAACGTGGGGTGGAGTTGTTTGAAGGGATTGCCATCATCTACAAATAGTCCCTAGATAAAATTGGAGGATCTGATCTGGAGGATTGGAGAGTGGCAAATGTGATACTTTCATTAAAGTAAAAAGAAATGTAAGGACATTTATAGCAATAATAGCCTCACCAGTTTAACATCAGTGGTAGGTCAGGTTATAGGATCAATAATCAGCAAATAAAAATCAAACAAAAGAGACATTGAAGTTAACTATGTCAATATGATTTGTTAAAGGCAGATCATGCTTGATCGTTGAATCAATTTTTTTGACAAGCATGCTGATGATGTTGCCTACATTATTTTAAGAAAGTGTATTATATACACTCCAGACACTTCTGTGGCAATTTGTCAATCATTTCCTTAAAATTCATACAGACAGCATCCACTGCATTCCCTTTATCAACTTCACTATTAATTCATCAAAAGATCAATTAGTGTATTCAGGCACAATCTATATTTTACAGGTCCATCCTAGTTCTCCTCGATGAATTTAAATCTCTTCAAGTGCCAGTTACTTTTCTCTTTCATAATTGTTTCTAAAATCTTTCCCACCTCTGATATTAAACTGACTCGCCTGTTGTTAGTGGGAATGTCCTTTTTCTTAAACAAGGGTGTAAGGATATTCCTACTAGCAACAGGCGAGTCAGTTTCTTAACAAGGGGGTCACATTTGCCACTCATCAAAACTTAGCATCTCCCCACATTTAGGAATCATTAGAAGATTATGCAAGTCCTTCCACTATTGCCACACCCAGTTCTCTCCATAATCTGGCTAATATATAGGAACTTTAATTCACAAGCACAAACAGACCAGAGCTGCAGTTAGTTTTTTAACCTTTTTGTTGTACACTTATACTCCTAGAAGGGAAAACACAAAAAATACCTGCAAGAGGTAGCTTTCTATTGAGAGGAGTGGGTGATAGTCAGCCTCCTTGTTATGTCTGTCTCTCTGTTTGAAGTTTCCCTTGGACTCTACATTCCTTTGGTCCCATGCAGGATTTTTCCAAAGAGCACTGAATTTACACATGCAGTCTTTTATATTTTGTCGAGAGCAGTTCGCTATTCAGAAATAAGCCATTTTGGAATTAAAAGTTAAAAATGTCCTTAATAATTTTGGACTCTGATCCTCCATTATGACATCAGTTTAAAAGAAATTACCATGTAGAAAATAATTTGGTGATAATTCAAGCACACCATTTGTTTTTTTTTCAGCAATTGTTTTAAGTAACTTGTTTTGTTGACAGGGAAGAACTGAGATTAATAAAAATTGTTTATCAATAAAGGCAACAATCTGATCAGAAGTGCTCAGAGGAAGAACTTTCTTATAGTCGCAGGCTTAAATGCTGCCTGTGCCAATTGACAATCCAACAGTCATATAATCGGAAATGCACGAAGAGCAGAAATTGCTGGAGAAATTCAGCAGGTCTGACCCCTTCTGCAGATCAACTTTAGAAGTCATGCAATCGATTCAGGCTTCCTGATTGAAGAGACATGAATGGGAGAGGGGCCACTGAATGAAGGCTTACCAGTACAAAGATATTTGTGAAAAATGGGTTTTTCATTAGAACTGAAAAACATGAAAGGGTGATCTGATAGAATCTTGAAACTTATAAATGATTAGCAAGAACGGAATCTTGTTGTAATTGGTAGATGACACCATAACCAATTCATAACTTTAGAATGATCAGGAAAAGTATAAGTGCAAGATCAGAAAATGACTTTTTACACAGAGGTTAGTTAGTTTTTGGAATTGGAGCAACATCCCAAAATTCTTTATAGAAATAGTTAATTGGATGTATGGAAAAGAAGCATGTTAAAGAATCTGTTAAGGAAACAGGAGAGTGGAAGATGATGAAGTGATTTGTTTGAAGAATGAATAGGTTTTTCAATTCTTTCAAGATGCTCCTAAAATGAAAGGAGAAAAAGCATTGTTTAGTGCGCCATCTAGTGACTTGTTTGGAGGGCTAAGGAAAAGACAGCCACGTTGTAATTTCATCACTAAAACATGTCTTATTGAGCCATAAACACGTTTTGTCTTAACTTGAATTTAAAACTGGACTTATGCGTAAACGATTTTACGTGAGAGTCCAATTTGACCAACAATGAATTTATTCAGTTCTTGACTTACCTATGGTCTGCATGGCATAAAGTTGTTTTTTCATGGGAATAAGCTCTGAAGGATTTGTTTACTCTATTTTGTTTATGTTTACTTAATTATTTGTAAGTAATATAAGGGGTCAGCATCAGCTTATTTTCACCTCTCTGAGTCAGAAGATTGTTTGTTCAAGTCCCACTTCAGAAAGATGGGCACATAATGTAGCCTGGCATTTAGTAAGGGTGTATTGCATTGTGGGAAGTCTCGTCTTTCACATGAAATGTTAAACTGAGTCACTATGTATTCTACCTGTTGCATTAAAATATTCTACTAGAAGGCACTATGTTGAAGAAAAGAGGGATTCTCGCTGGTGTCCTGACCAACATTTATCCCACAAATGGTCTCATTTATCTCATGAATTGCTATGGAATCTTGTTGAACATAAGTTGGCTGCCATGTTTGCAATGATTACATTTCAAAAAGTATTTCATTATTTGGAAAGGACTTTAGGCTGTGCTGATATTATGAAAAATGTTAAATAAATGTAAAATGTTTCTTCTTTCTATCTACAGCTGCCATGTTTCTACTGTGCGCAGTTAAAATACCTGATGCTGTGTCAGATATGGTGATGTCCGAATTTCACCATCCAGAAGCAGTACAGCGCATTAATGCCATTGTGAAATTTAATACACTCTGGAGATTCAGATACCAGGTTTGGCCACGTATGGAAGAAGGTGCTCAGCAGATCTTTAAGGTAGGCTTCACAGGTTTCAGTATCTTCTCCTTTAACTTCATTCACTTCCCGCCAAGAGAAACTATTGGAATGGGAACCCATATGGTTCCTAGCTATGCCTGTCTCATTTTAGGATATGTGGAGCATTTTGTGTTCCAGTCCTACTTGGGATCTGCAACCCACATGCTCAGTTTTCCTGGAACGTTGATGGGTGCCATCTCCTATTTTTATCCAAATTAGCACCAACTCAGCTTTAAATTTCCATCCTTCCTTTACCTTTCTGATCCATCACCAACTCTTCACTTCCCTACCTCACTTTCTTCGTCATCTGTTCTGGGATTTGGCTGTTGACTATTATTTATTATAGACCCACTGATTCCACACAATTCCATTTAACATGCTTCCTCTTACCCCAACTTCTTATAAGCACTCTCTTCCTTTCTCCAATTTTCTCTATCTGCATTGCATCTGTTCCGATGTGCACACTTCTATGCCTACAAGTATATGCAGAAGAACTTAAGCAAACATGGCAACATTACTGAAGTAGCATTTTCTGGAAGATGTGGACTTCCAGGAATTGATTGACTGATTTATTGATTTATTGTCACGTGTACCGAAATAAGGTGAAAAGCTTTGTTTAAGAGCAGTACAGCAAGCAAAGGATGTACAGTTCAAAAAGACTTAAGGCATACAGGTTACATTGCAGGTTGCATTATTTGAGGCTACAGTCCGTTCAACAGTCTGATAACGGCCAGAAAGAAGCTGTTCCTGAACCTGCTTGTGTGTATGTTCAGGCTTCTGTATCTTATGCCTGACAGAAGAGGTTGTAGGAGGTCATTACCAGGGTTCAGTGGTTTTATGTCTGCAAAGATAGATGAAAACCTGTTCTAAATTGGCACTGGAGATTAAATTAAAGCTGTTGCCTGCAATCAAGCAAAATCTAAGCCACTGCAAATCAACCTAATTTAGTAGTACGCCTTCATTTTTCCTGAGCAGACGATTCCCTTATGTTGTGGTAGACAAGGCCCTTGAGTGTGTCTGTTCCATTTGCTATAGTTTTGTTCTCATCCTTTTGCCTTCCTCATAAAACAATGATGAGGTTTCCCTTGTGATGAGCTTCCAACCCACCAGCCTCTTGTTTCAAAAGATCATCCTCCACTCTGCACCAACTTCAAATTGATGCCACCACCAAATATATTTGCTCTCTCTTTCCTTTCAGCATTCCAAAGGGACTGCTTTCTCACTGGTACCTTTGTCCATTCCTCAATCACCATCTACAGTGCCAATGATATTTTCCTCCAGAAGCTTAGGAAAAGAAGTACATTTCTTTTTAACCTCTCTCCTTTACTCTGTAATAGTCTCAAATATTTCTTCCAGGTGAAACAGCAATTGTATTTCTTGCAAATGAAGTTCTGTACTAACTGCTTGTCTTAATATCTCTTCTGCACTGGGAGATTGCCTGCTTTCAATCTACTTGTGTGACCCTGAGCTCCCAACCAGCTCCTACTCTGAAGTCTCTGCCCTCAGTCTCCAATGCAGTTGTAAGAAAGTTCAACTGAAGTTCAGCTGAAGAAATATCACCGCATCTTTTGATTAAGCTCTTTGAAACTTTCCAGACTCAAGACTGAATTTGTTAATTCAGATCATAACTATTGCTCCTACCTTTTCAGTTGGGAACTGTTAGTATGATTTTACTCTTCTCATTGAAGCTTCTTCTAGATCCATCTTTTGTTTCTTTACTTGTCACTTCCTGTTGCTTGCCTCCCTTCTGATATTTATTATCTTTGAACATAAGAACGTAACAAGAACATAAGAAATAGGCGCAAGAGTAGGCCATTTGGCCTGGCAAGCTTGATCTGCCATTTTCTAAGATCATGGCTGATCTTTTGTGGACTCAGCTCCACTTACCCATCTGCTCAACATAACTTTTAATTCCTTTACTATTCAAAACTCTGTCTATATGTGCCTTAAAAACATTCAACGAAGTAGTTTCAACTGCTTCAGGAAATTCCACAGATTCACAACCCTTTGGGTGAAGATGTTCTTCCTCAACTCAGTTCTAAATCTACTCCCCCTTATTTTGAGGCTATTGCCCCCTAGTTCTAGATTCACCCGTCAGTGGAAACAACCTTTCTGCTTTGAGCTTATCTGTTTGTTTCATAACTTTATATGTTTCTATAAGAGCCACCCGTCCCCCATTCTTCTTAATTCCAGTGAGTATAGTCCCAGTCTACTCAATCTTTCCTCATAAGCCTACCCTCTCAACTCTGGAATCAACCTAGTGAAACTCCTCTGCACCCCCTCCAGTGCCAGTATATCCTTTCTCAAGTAAGGAGACCAAAACAGTATACTGTACTCCAGGTGTGGCCTCACCAGCACCCTATACAGCTGCAATATAACCTCCCTATTTTTAAACTCCATCTCTCTAGCAGTGAAGAATAATATTCCATTGCCTTCTTAATTACCTGCTGTACCTGCGAACCAACCTTTTGAGGTTCATGCACAAGGACACCCAGGTCCCTCTGCACAGCAGCATGCTGCAATTTTTCACCATTTAAATAATAGTCCATTTTGCTGTTGTTCCTACCAAAATGGATGACCTCCCATTTACCAATATTGTATTCCATCTGCCAGATCTTGGCCTACTCATTTAACCTATCTATATCTCTCTGCAGACTTTCAGTTCCTCTCACACTTTGTTCTACTACTCATTTTAGTGTCGTCTGCAAACTTTGACACACCACACTGGGTCCCCAACTCTACAGTATCTGTGTAAATTGTAAACAATTTCCCAACACTGATTCCTGAGGCCAACCACTAGCTACTGACTGCCAACCAGAAAAACACCCATTTATCCCCACTCTTTGCTTTCTGTTAGTTAACCAATCTCGTGTCCATGCTAATACATTACCCGTAACGCAATGCAACTTTATCTTATGCAGCAGCCTTTTATGCAGCACCTTGTCAAATGCCTTCTGGAAATCCAGATACATCACATCCACCAGTTCCGCATTGTCCACTGTGTTCATAATGTCCTCAAAGAATTCCAGTAAATTAGTTAAACATGACCTGCCATTCGTGAACCAATGCTGCATTTGCCGATGAGACAATTTCTATCCAGATGTCTTGCTATTTCTTCCATGACTATAGATTCAAGCACTTTCCCCACGACAGAAGTTAAGCTAATGGGCTGACAGTTACTCACCTTTTGTCTACCTCCTTTTTCAAACAATGGTGTCCCATTTGCTGTTTTCCAATCTGCTGGAACCACCCTGAGTCCAGTGAATTTTTGTCAATTACAATGAGCATATTTGCTATTTCCCCAGCCATCTCTTTTAGTACTGTGAGATGTATTGCATCAGGGCCAGAAGACTTGTCTACCTTTAACCCCCACCCCAATTAGCTGACCGAAGACGACTACTTTTGTGATAATGACTGTTTCTAGGTCCTCACCTGCCATAACCTCTTTCTCATCAATTATTGCCATGTTATTTGTGCCTTCCACTGTGAAGACTGACACAAAATACCTGTTCAATGCCTTGTCCATTTCTTTATGTACCATTATTAAATCCCCCTTCTCATCCTCTTTAGGTCTAATGTTTACTTTAGACGCTCTTTTTCGTTTCATGTATTTGTAGAATTTGATCCTCAAGGACATAGGTACTTGTATTTTCAGAAAAGTGGACATACTTCTTTGACTGTCCACATTTCTAGATGTGCCTTTTTCAATGCCTGTGCATTGTTAAAGATGAAATCTTATAAATCAGGTTGAAGTTATTGAGTTTTTTTTGGCAAATGTACACATGAATAAATGTGCTGTTTTTATCTTCTGTTTTACCAATGGTTTCTTGGTTTATCTTTTTTAAGATTCCACCACCAAGTATAAACTTCACCCTACCTTCTCCAATTTTGGGTATGCCATCTGTACCAATGTTTGATCCACCTTGGGTTCCCCAAAGCACTGGTCGTGTACAGGATCCAATCAGTGAAGATCAGTCTGTAAGTGTTATTGGGCTAACATCATTTTTAAAATGAAATCTCAACTTCATACGTTATTACACTTTCCAGTCAATATTAAGAAGCAGCAAAATCAGCCTATTCTATGAAGCAATAAAGACCTTATATGTCTGAAAATGTCATTTAATAAATATGGTGGCAATCAATTGTTTGTTTCTAAGTGCCTTGTGGGTGGAGGGATAACTTTATTAGTTTGTTCTGTTTGTGTGGAATCTTGTTTTTTGAGAGTGCATATCAGGGCCTCCGTATGCTCCACCTATAATTTTCAAATTTGGACTGCAGCCATGATGTCTAAAGTACCATATTTTAAGGATAAAGCATTCATTACAAGAAATATACAGAATGCATGGGACTCAAGATCTCTACTTCTCTATTGTAGCATCCCCCTCCCTTCCCCAGTTGTAGTCTTTCCCCTCTCTCTTCGGGCCCTCCTACAGCTCCCCCTCTCTCTGCCTTTCTTTGCGTCCTCTCATGCCTCTACCCTCTCACAGCATCCTCTTCCTCCTCTTTTCTTCTTGCAGCCTCCATCTGTCTTTCCCTCCACCTTGCAGCCTCACTTTGTCTCTCACAGCCTCGTACTCCCTTACACTCTTTATAGCTACCTTCTCTCTTCCCCTTTGCTGCTTCTCTCTTCCTCTACACCCACTACCCCACCTCCACCTCCTTCTTCCACAGACCTCATAGCTCCTCTCTCTGCCTGCTCCTGGAACCTCCATCTATCTCTCTCTGATCCCACGCCTGCAGCCTCCCTGTTGGTCATCTTAATTCCACATTTGAACCCACCCCACACCAGCAGCCATCCATTCATTCTCTATTTCTCTGTCTCTCTTTTGATATCATCCCAACTCCTGTATCCTGACCTCCTCTCGCCCCACAACTTTCCCTTCAGCCTGTGTGTCTCTCCAGGCCTGGCCCAACAGCACCACCTTCTCCAGCCCTAGCCCAGGCCTCATTTCTCTAGTCTGCTTCTCCAGCCCTGGTCTTGGCCCACCAACTCATGCTCCTTGAGGCCTGTGCAGCCCTCCCCTCCCCCCACCCCATTCTCACATGGCAAGTCACAGAGTCATACGGCACAGAAACAGATCCTTCGATCCAACTCATCCATGCCGGCCAAGTTTCCCAATCAATCGAAACGAGTCCCAAATGCCTGCCTTTGGCCCATATCCTTCTAAACGTTGAATAGAAACAGAAGCTGCTGGAAAAGCTGAGCAGGTCTGGCAGCATCTGTGAAGAAAAAAGTCAGAGTTAATGTGTCGGGTCCGTTGACCCTTCCTCAGAACCGTTTTGCTTCACCAGACCCAAAACGTTAACTCTGATTTTTTTTTCTTCACAGATGCTGCCAGACCTGCTGAGCTTCTCCAGCAACTTCTGTTTTTGTTCCTGATTTACAGCATCCACAGTTCTTTCAGTTTCCTTCTCAACCTTTCCTATTCATGCACCTGTTCAAATGTCTTTTAAATGTTGCAACTGTACCTGTCTCTATCACGTCCTCTTGTAGTTCATTCCACATATGCATCACCGTCTGTGCGAAAAAGTCGTCCCTCAGGTCCCTTTTAAATCTTGCCCTTCTCACCTTAAACCTCATAGGAGCAGGAAGGCTGACGTTGTTTGGCCTGCTGTGTTCATCCAGCTCTACACCTTGTTATCTCAGATTCTCCAGCATCTGCCGTTCCTACTATCTCTCACCTTAAACCTCTCTAGTTTTGAACGCCCCCTTCGCTACTTACCTTATCTGTACTCCTCATGATTTAATAAGGCCACCTATACTCCAGGGGTAAAAAAAGCCCAGCCTATCCAACCTCTCCTTATAACTCAAGCCTTCCTAACTCGGTAACATCCTTGTAAATCTTTTCTGCATCCTTTCTAATTTAATAACATCCTTCCTATAGCAGGGTGAGCAGAACTGTACACATTACTCCCAACGTGGCTGGGATGTCACATCTGAGTAAAGTAATTAACGGCCCATTCTGAGGTTGAATGGGACTTTGAAGTTGGTCTTGAGGTTCTTGCAGGCCATGTAAGGTGGAAGGCAAGGACAGGCTAGGGACCAACACAGGCCTGAAGGCCTTTCCTGCCTACCTGAGTGGGGTAGCTGCAGGCTATATCCTTACATGTGCTTCCTGGTTGCAAAAGTCTTTTTCTACACAGCGACTGAAAACGTTAGAGAGAACACATCCCATTTTGTCACACTCTCTTCCTTAGTTCTCTGCCATTGCAGCCTGCTCCTGCATCCTGATTGGCCCACTAACTTTCAAAGTCCACTGGTAATTTGTATTTGGGCAGTGAGCCTGCCCTCGGGCCATGAATTTCATGATGGGTGACTGTTTCCCACGTTCTGCTGACATCTGACCCCCATTTGAACTTGGCAATAGGATTGCCAGGCCTACGGGGAAAATTCTAGCCCAAGGTGTGTTCCTATTCTACTTTCCACATATCGTGTCATACTTTCAACATTGTGTTTGAAATGACTTGGCAATAAAATAGCAATGGGCTCTTTCCCTTTTGAAATACCTAATGTAATTGATCTGCTCCAAAAGTGCTAAAAGATTCCGTTTTAATGATCTCAACATACAACCTGTTTACAGAAATCATTTTCCGCTCGCGCAGTTTCCCGGTCCCACCAACGAGCTGAGCATATTTTGAAGAACTTGCAGCAGGAAGAGGAGAAGAAGCGACTCGGTCGTGAGGCCAGCCTGATCACAGCCATTCCTGTCACACAAGAGGCCTGTTATGAACCAACCAACACTCCTCCACCTGAACTGGAGGAAGAAGGTAGCTCTTCATGTGAATCATTGCGCAGTCCCTCAACCATGTTCTCAAAATAACGTGTTCACATTTTTCCCTCATGGGATATTGATTAGCCTTCATCTTTCAATTCTGAGTTTGTTGATGAGGGGACAGTGCTGGAAATCAAGACCCACTACTCCACAAGTTGTACCTATAGTGAAAATGACTTATTCAGTCACATAGTCAGTTTGTTTCTCTTTATTGCTGTTATTTGAAACAAAAGAACTTTCATTAGGTTTCAACTGTAAATTCAAAAATAACTCCTTTATGAAAAACGTGCTTCAAACACGTGAGCAAACTGATTATCAACTGAGCAACTCTGCAGGATTAAAGTATACCCACTTCCCCACCCACATCCCCACCCACACGTGCACGCACACACCGCCCACGCCCACACCCCATGTGCACACACCCACATCCACACACCTACACGCACACCCAAGTACCCCACACACCTGCGTACACACACCCACATACACCCCCACACACTTCCCCACCCACACCCCCCCCACACACACCTCCACACACCCCCATGCACCGCGCGCGCGCACGCACACACACACGCGCAGACACACGCACACACACACACCTATCCACAGCCCCACGTCCCCATACACCCACATCTACACACCCCAACTCTGCCACTTTTATAAATGTACTCCCTTTAAAGTATTCACATCCCTTCTTTATCGTGTGGCGCTCAGAACTGTACATGGTACATGCTTTTGAATTCCATGCACTATTACTAAAGCCTAGGATACTGTATATTTTATTAACTGCTCTGTCCTGTTCTGCAGCCTTCAGTGGTTTGTATGCATGTATAAATACAGTATACATCCATTTGTATAAATCCAAGTACCTCTGCTTTTTGCACAGCCTTTAAAGTTATATCCCATATCTTCTATTTTTATGTCCATGCTCTTCCCATCAAAGAGTTTCACTTCATACTTCTCTGCAATGATCTTCATTAACCACCTACTTGCCCTCCAGCAATTTATCAATAGTATAATACTTACTGTTCGCTATCTGGGCTTCTGGCATCTCACCTGAGTTTAAGGAAGATCGAATGATTATGACCAGTGCCCCTGTAATTTCCACTCTCACCACCTTCAGTATCCCTGAATGCATCTTTCCCAGTCAACTTAAGGTACCAACAGTCTGTCCAACATTTCTTTCTTGTCAATTCTGAACCTTTCTAGTGACATCGCCATGGCTTCAGCAGCATTACCTCTTGATAATTACAGATACAAAATATTCATTTAATACCTTAGCAGTGCCGCACTACCTTATTTATTCATTTGTGGGATGTGGGCATTGCAGGCTGGCCAGCGTTTATTGCCTGTCCCTAGTTGCCCTTGAGAAGATGGTGGTGAGCTGCCTTCTTGAACCTCTGCAGTCCACCTGCTGTGGGTTGGCTCATTATGCCATTAGGAAGACAATTCCAGGATTTTGACCCTGAAGGAACGACAATGTATTTCCGAGTTAGAATGGTGTGTGTCTTGAAGGGGAACTTGAAGGTGGTGGTGTTCCTATAGATCTGCTGCCCTTGTCCTTCTAGATGGAAGTGTTCATGGGTTTGAAGGTTGATGTTTGAGGATTGTTTGTGAGTTTCTGCGATGCGTCTTGTAGATAGTACACACTGCTACTACTGACCGTGGTGGAGGAAATGGATATTTGTGGATGTAGTGCCAATCAAGCGGGCTGCTTTGTCTTGGATGGCGTCAAGCATCTTGAGTGTTGTTGGGGCTGCACTCATCCAGGCAAGTGGGGAGCATTCCATCACACTCCTGACTTGTGCCTTGTAGATGGTGGACAGGCTTTGGGGAGTCAGGAGGTGAGTTACTCGCTGCAGTATTCCTAGCTTCTGACCTGCTGTTGTAGCCACTGTGTTTATGTAGTAAGTCCAGTGAATTTCTGGTCAAAGATAGCCCTCAGGATCTTGACAGTGATGGTAACACCATTGACTATCAAGGGGAGGTGGTTAGATTGTCTCTTATTGGTGATGGTCATAGCCTGGCATTTGCAAGGCATGAATGTTACTTGCCACTTGTCATTCCTCAAACCTGGGTATTGTCCAAATCATGTTCAATTTGAATATGAACTGCTTTGGTATCTGAACAGTCACGAATGGTGTTGAACATTGTACAATCATTGGCAAACATCCCCACTTCTGACCTTATGATGGAGGGAAGGTCATTGATGAAGCGGCTGAAGATGGTTGGGCCTAGGACACTACCCTGAGGAACTCCTGCAGAGATGTCCTGGAGCTGAGATGATTGACCTCCAACAACCATGACCATCTTCCTATGTGACAGGTATGACTCCTACACCAGAGAGTTTGCTCACTGATACCCACTGATTCCAGTTTTGCTTGGGCTCCTTGATGCCACAGTCGGTCGAATGCAGCCTTGATATAAAGGGCTGTCACTCTCTCACCTCACCTCTGGAATTCAGCTCTTTCGTCAATGTTTGGACCAAGGCTGTAATGAGGTCAGGAGCTGAGTGGCTTTGGCAGAACCCAAACTGGACCAGTGTGTTCAAATCCTGTCCTTGGTCCCTATTGGTCTTATTCCTCATTTTACCATGCTTTTAGACTTTAGATGCCGACAGACAATGTTGTGATTTCCCTCCATGTTGACTGCAAGTCTTTTGTCATAATCTTCTTTGCTTTTTTAACATGCTTTTGATTTTTAATTCTAAAATAATCTAATGCTAATCTCTCTACAACCCAGAAATTGTCAAAGTCTTGATTTTTCAAATTCTCATCATCCCTAAATGTATGTTTTGTTCCCAATAAAACCAAATGTAGCCCCTTTGTTTGATGAATTAAACCATGGCCTGGGAAATGTTTATTAGATTGCTGCATAGCTTAGAAAACCTAAATGATGCTGTTCCATAAACTAATGGCTCTGAAGGAGTTAATATTCATGTTGCATTGAGCTCCAGCCAATCTGATGGTGTCACATAGTCTTTGAGTGGAGGCCATTGTAATCTCTGCAAATATCTGAAGGAAGCAGATATATTATCATGCGTAGCTCCTGAGATTTCTTCATAATTGTGAGAGACTAAAACGTAAGTGCTACCAATTGCCATCATGTAATAAGCTATCTTGTTATAAGAGACAAGTGGCTCTTCTATTTAGATTCATCAGTGATCTATTCTCTGCCGGAGATAATTAGACTAGCCCTAAACTCAACACTAAGAAAGCAGTATTGGTGGATGCAAACTACTCAAATTGGAATACTGATGGTATCTGAAAATATGACATACACAGCTTTTTCCATGACTTTACAAAGTGTTCTGTTTTTGGCAAGGCAATGGATTCAGTTCAAAACTTAGTTTTAAGCAAAATCAGAGAAAGCGGAAGTTGAGGTAAACTGTTGAATGAATTTTGTCAGGATAACTGTCCTCAACTGTCGTGATGAACAACATATGCATAATTTGTTACAATGGCAATAAATACTAAAGAAGTGTAACTAAGAAGGACCTATTTTAATTGTATCTTAAAAATGTGAATTTGTATTTATTTAATTCACTGACCAAAAAGTCTGATTTTCCTCACATTTGCCAGTTGAAGATGCCGCCAACTTAGCATCCCGCCGACTGTCTGTCAGTCCTTCCTGCACATCCAGTACATCCCATAGAAATTACTCATTCCGTCGAGGCTCGGTATGGTCAGTGCGGTCAGCAGTAAGTGCTGAAGGTAAGCCGAGATCATCATTCACAAAGGACTGGGAAGCAGCTAGACTGCTCTGTTCCTTCACATGTGAAGATCTCAGTTATATAATCTGTGAAACTGGTATCTAAATTTTCTGAGCAGATGAGGAAGATGCCACAGAGAATACACCAACACATCATGTAATACAGCCTCCCCAGGCTGTATTTCCTGCATGCATCTGTGCTGCTGTGCTGCCAATTGTTCATCTCATGGAGGATGGAGAGGTACGAGAAGATGGAGTGGCAGGTATCTGTTTTTAATTAACTACATCTTAATTAGCTGTGTGTTGTGTTTTTAAGAAAACAAGGTTATAAATAACAATTACATGCTAAGCTGCACAATCAGTATAGTTTAATAGTTGTCATGTGGTAAGTACTCCAAATGATCATCAATTTCCACACAACACGATAGTGGAAAGCAAGAATCTTGTAATCACTTGATCTACATCGATCTCTGCTTTGTGTTAGGGATTTTATTTTGGTCATTTGCAAAGCTCAATTCCTAAAGAATTTTCCACGTAGTTGTATTAAAAGCTTCCAGTTTTAGTTTTAGAAGGTTAAAGTTTTGATTTAAGAATTTGGAGTCAATGCACTGTGATTTTTAACACTGTCAACTACCTCACATTTAATAAGGTCATTTTTTGAATCTATGTTGATGGGGAAAGAGTTGACTACATAGATTCAGAAAGTACTCATTATGTAATGTTGAACAGTAAATGCCAGTTTATTGTTACACTTGAAAAATTGGAAGTGAAATTTGCCATAGTCCAAGATGACCATAGGCTGTTCTCTCATCACAGACATGACTGGTGGTGAGTTTAAATTGAGGGTAGCCATGCCTCAAGTGAAGTATGAGGTCAAGAAGGCAGAGTCTTCCTGGTGATCTCAGCCATTACAGAAATAGAGCCCATGCTGGTGGCATTACTTTGCATCATCACAAACCAAACATCCAGCTAACCAACCCTGTCAATCACCGAGACAACAAGGTGCAGGGCTGGATGAACACAGCAGGCCAAGCAGCATCATAGGAGCAGAAAGGCTGACGTTTCGGGCCTAGACCCTTCATCAGAAAAGGGGGAGGGGGAGGGGGAGGGGTTTCTGAAAGAAATAGGGAGAGAGCGGGAGGCGGATAGAAGATGGATAGAGGAGAGGATAGGTGGAGAGGAAATAAACAGGTCGAAGAGGCGGGGATGGAGCCAGTAAAGGTGAGTGTAGGTGGGGAGTTAGGGAGGGGATAGGTCAGTCCAGGGAGGACGGACAGGTCAAGGGGGCGGGATGAGGTTAGTCGGTAGGAGATAGGGGTGCGGCTTGAGGTGGGAGGAGGGGATAGGTGGGAGGAAGGACAGGTTAGGGAGGCGGGGACGAGCTGGGCTGGTTTTGGGATGCGGTAGCGGGAGGGGAGATTTTGAAGCTTGTGAAATCCACATTGATACCATTGGGCTGCAGGGTTCCCAAGCGGAATATGAGTTGCTGTTCCTGCAACCTTCGGGTGGCATACTACTCCTGTCAATCACCACCAGTTTGTGGCTGGAGTTGTTTGTTGCCGGCTCCCCTTCTCCTTGACTGGGTTTAAGGGCCTAATTGGTACACGGTGGTAGAAGAAAACCATGAGTCATTGAGGTCGACAGGATAGAAAAAGGCCCTTTGGCCCATCAAGTCAGCTTTGCTCAAAAGCAAACACCTAACTATTCGGGTCCAATGTTCCAACATTTGGCCCATTGTATGCCATGGCATAACAATTGACATCTAAATACTTTTTAAATGTTGTGATAGTTTCTGCATCTGCCACCCTTACAGGCAGTGAATTCCAGATTCCTACCACCTTCTTGGGGGAATAAAAACATTTTTCTCACTACTTCTTTCCAAGTGTGTCTTAATAAGAATAGGCTTAGTTTTTTCTTTAAAAGAAAGTGGTTTATTGCATGAGAACGCTCACCTACAAGTTACATCAGTGGGGTAGACATTGGGCAGAATCTTGCCAAGCTCTGCACAATGTGGGCATTGGTGAGAAATTTGGGACAGTTATGGGAGATCAGCCCTAAGTAGATTCTCAATATGAGGAACAAACATGTTTTAACCAAATGTTGAATGGTGAGACAACACTAGACCTTAAGATGTACGGCAGAATTAGACCATCCAGCACATTTAGTCTTCTCCGCCATTCCATTGGGGTCATAGCTGATCTGATAATTCTCAACTCCAGCAGAGGCGAGTATTCGTACCTATGCCAAGAAGGGGAATACAATGAGATAACAAGGTGTAGAGCTGGAGAAACACAGCAGGCCAAACAGCATCATCGGAGCAGGAAGGCTGATGTTTCGGGCCTAGACCCTTCATCAGAAATGAGCTGGGTATCTTAGGCGTGTGGCATATGAGTAATGACATGAGTTTAGGAAGATAGCATGAGAAATCCTGCTAGGTCTCACAGAGAAAAACCTACACTGAAAGTCACCAAAACTGATATTATGGTTATTTCAATAAAATTTAGCCCCTTGTTACAAAGATTATGAGGGGATCTCGGATAACATGCCTGTTCTCTTTGAAATCCTAAGATGCTCTACCTTTTCCCAACCCCACTCCTTACCTCATCGCCACATTGTGTACAGTTTAATGCCATTTCCAATATTAACCCTTTCAGAACAGTCACATTATACAACTTTTATATTGACTTTATGTTTGCGGCCTCAGCTAATGCCAAGGCTAGCTGATAATCAACAACAGTATGCAGTTCTATGCAACTTTAACACAGAAAAATGTCTGTAAGCGCATCAGAGAAACATAATCCGACAAAATCAACAACAAGTCAATGAAGGAGATATTAGGAGGACAACTAAAGGCTTGGTTGAAGAGGTTTGCTTTAAGGAGCCTCTTTAAGGGGGAAGAGAAAAGCTGATAAGTGTAGCGAATAAATTTGGAGCTAAGAACCTACGTTGTGGATGACATAGCCACCAGTGAAAAGACAAAATTATTTTGGAATGCAGACGAGCAAGACTTGGAGAAACGTAGCATTTTTGAAGGATTGCAGAGTCATAGAGGTCTACAGCATGGAAACAAGCTCTTCGGCCCAACTTACCCATGCCGTCCAGTTTTCACAATTTAAACTAGTCCCATTTCCCTGCATTTGGTCCATATCCCTCCATACCAACCTCATCCACGTATCTGTCTAAATGTTTCTTTAATGATGAAATTGTACACGCCTCCACCACTATGTCTGACAGCCCTTTCCAGATACTCACCACCTTTTTTATGAAAAATTTGCCCACTGGGCCCTTTTGTATCTCTTCCCCTCTCACCTTAAACCTATGCCCTCTAGTTTTAGACTCTCCTACCATGGGGAAAAGCTGTCGGCTATCTACCTTATCTATGCTTGTCATGATTTTATAGACTTCTGTAAGGTCATCCCTCAGTCTCCTATGTTCAAGGGGAAAATGTCCCAGCTTTCCAACTTCTCCTTATAACTCAAACCTTCCAGTCCAGGAGAAGCCGGAAACGATTACAAATAGTGAGTGTCAAGGCCATGAAAATGTTTGACCTCTTGGATGAGAGGTTTACATTGGAGTTGTTGTACTCCTGGGAGTCCATAGGAGAAGTAAATAAAACTTGCCATGGACTAGAGTAAGGAATTTTGGATACCTGAAGTTTACTAATGATGAGGGGCAGGAATCTGGCAGATTAGGATTGCCACAGTTGAATTTGGAGTGGGTAAAAGCATAATGGATAAGCAAATAAACTGAAGCAGAAATGAAGACATGCAGTGTTGTGGAAGTGGCCTTTTTGTTCAACAATGAAGGTAGAAAAAGTATTAACTCAGCTCAGAACAATTCAACAGACCAAGTCTAGTTCATTTTGCAACAGTTACTGGGAAAGAAGATTGAATAAGTATTCAGACTATGGTTTATAGCATGGCCTGGGAATGATGACATCAATCATCCCAATGTTTAACTGGAGAAAATTGTGTCACATTCATCACTGGATGTCCAGCTGCTAGACAACCCATATGCAGTAGATGGGTTGAGGGAGGTGACGGAGAGATAGAGCTGAGTGCCATTATGTATGGAACATGACATTTTAACTTTTTATTATGTAACCAAAGAGCAATGCTTAGATGAGAAAGAAGAGGGCCCCACAACTAGTTCCTTGGCGAACTCCACAGATATTGGTGTGGAAAAGGAAGATAAAACCTTGCTGGTGATGTTTTGATTGAATAGACAAGAATTGAACGATGGAGTATAAATGCTATTAAAAGGACGGTGTGGTTGACTGTTTCAAAATCTGCAGAGATGTTGAAAAAGAAAATGGTGCATAGTACATGATACTAAAGAACCATTCCCTTTAATTAGGATTCTCAGTGCATTAAGGGGTGGGTTCTGATTGGAAAGATTCAAATGTGGAATTACAAAAAGGATGGTCATGAGTTTGGGAAGTAACCCATTCAAGAACTTTGAAGAGAAAGGGAGGCAGGAGAAGTGTCAGTAGAATGCAAGTGTATGGGGCCAAGGGATGTTTCTTTGAGGAGGGGATGATGATGGCTTTGAAAGGAGGCTGATTGTGCATGAGAGAACGGGAAGTGAAATTGGGTGCTCAGTGGAATGGGGTCATGAAACCCGAAAGTGGATATCACAGATTAATGAGTTGACAGAGGGCATTGAGTGGTGGGGAGGTTAGATCAGAGGAATGAAAAGCTTTAATAGTAACTTGATTGTAACTTAGAAAAATGCCGCTAGGCATTTGATTGGGGGTGGGGAGTTTGGTGGTGGTTTGGAACGGGGGAGAACTTTCTGGAGGTTTATGAAATTTGTAGAACATAAAGCACAATGCAGAGTCTAGTAAAACCTGGTCAGTAACAATGGTGTTTGCCTTGACACTGTATCCCATTTTTGAGTGTGACTTTCTACCGATTTTGCTTTGATGCCCGTGAGATAATTTCAGCAAATTGGCTGGATTCTGGCTTGATACAGAAACATAGGGCCAAACTTTATTTCCAGCATCCAAACCCCAAGCCAGCCTGATTTCTGAATCAGAAACTCGGAAGTGGCTACAATTAGGACCCTAGAGCCAATTTTCAGGAGTTGGTTCAATGAAGAAGGAGTCTCTCTGTGGGTCATCCATTTCCTTAGCAGCTGGGCAGTGCAGCTAGAAGGACCACTGAGAGTGCCTTAGTTTCTGGGCACTGCCGCTATAAATAGGAAACTATGATGCCACCTCATAATAGAGACACTATCTGAAGACTTTTAAATTGTCCAAGTTATACTGCCAGAGCCTTCATTGCTTTCATTGCCACACACTAGCCTTTGCTGTGTCTGTGGACCCTGCAGCCCCTTGGGTCTATGCTTTGTACCATGCACATCTGATCCCCTTGGCCAGCCACTGGGAGGCTGTCACCATTCCATCTCGGGGCTCCATTCACATCGGAAGCTGGACAATGTAGATGGTGTGTTGAGAGTATCAAATTGGCTCTTTATTTGACATTAGTGGCTTCTCGCTGTTGCGGGAATATGGTCATCACTTCACCACACCTTAACTGTTGCCTTAACAGAAGAAGCTGAAGGTAACAATATAAAGGCAACACATGGGGTGTTCAGTCACAGGCTATCACCCCATGGTTATCACAAGTTGTGTGTTAGAAGTAAATTGTACATGAAATAGATTACTGTTCTAATGTTGTGTGATAAAATTTATTGTTGTTTGTTCAAACTGTCGAAACTTATGGCTTTATTTTCTTTGAAAATCTGTTGGATTTCACACCAGTCTATCTTAAAATTGAAATTATTGGTCCCTAGCTAAATCACGATAGAGATTTTTCCAGTCTGACCCAAGACTGTAATACTTCAGATTGCACATCTACCATCACACCAGCAGAATAAAAGAACTAGAAGACTGGCCTGGCTTGTTTTAGAAATTCCTATGGGTCTTTTAAGACACAAATCTTCCTCTGTTTCTTAAGAGTCCAACTTAGTGGAGCTGTTAGGGGAGGAGACACTGGAGCTTCCTATGCCATCTGACTGTAAGCAAGTCGGTTGACTTCATACTGACAGTACACCATGCTCCAGCACGATGAACCATAGAGGTTACCAGTTTGCATAATTCGGCTGGACCAATGTCTTCCTTTCTATAATGTATTAATGGATGACATGACTGCTTTGTGTTTAACATTGATGAGCCCATGTCTTACTTTCATTTTTAGTGAGTGCTGTAGCACAACAGGTACTGTGGAATTGTTTGATTGAAGACCCTGCACTCGTCCTGCGCCATTTTCTGGAGAAACTCACTATTAGCAATCGTCAGGTAATAGAATTCACTTCAGAAATATTAAAGCAAATATTGTCACTTATTTTACATTCCATATTCACTGTGTGGAGTTCTTCCCATAACGACACTTCCAGTTCCAATTGGAGGACCAAACAACCGAGTCTTTTAAATCCCAGGCGAGCCAAAGACTTAAAATTAATTGTATGCTAGTTTGTTTGTTTGAAAACCATGGGCTTGGAAGAAGTAGATTCTTAGTTCTCTGAGACTACACTAGATAGTAAGTGCTAACCCAACATTAAGGTATGTTAATACTAAATAATACATGAATTAATTAAAATTAGTTGATGTTTAAATGCAATTAAAAGTTCCAATGTACAAAACTGTGGTGCAGAATTTAGACTACAGGTAAAGTTTGAGTCCACACTGACAGTAAGCAACATCACCTAGACATCAGAAAATGGTGAGTTTGTGTCTCTTGATTTTTTTTTTAATCCATTTATATTTATAGAAGAACCTGTCCATGGTTTTCAGAATTGAGCCCCTGATCAAGGTTGTTTGTGGCCAGCATGTACTTAGAATACTATATTTCCCTTGTTGCGTACTTGAATAATGTAATGAATTGATATTTTGCCCATGTGAAGATATTAACTTTGCCACTTTTTAATTGTGTACAGCTTAATGGATCTCATTTTCAAATAATTATAGTTTATTGGTTCCAGTCAGCTCAATTCCTCCACTGTGTCCTCAAGCCCTGAAGGTATATTTCTGTCAAGTGCCTAACCAGACACCTTTTAAAATTATTGATCATCTCCACTTCCACTGTGTTCAGAGGCAGCAAGCTCCAGGAAACTGGCACAAAAATACATTAAAAAGTTAATCCTCACATCCCCTTGTAACCCTTGCCAGAACGTTAAATTTGTGTTCCTTTAGTCTTTTTGCCATTACCTAATAGAAACAGCTTTTCTTGGTCTACCACATTTAAACTCATCATAACCTCATTCACCTGTGAGAGATTTCCCCTCAATCCCATTTATTTCAAGAAGAACAATCCCATATTACCCAAATTAATGTTGCAATTAAAAGTACTCGCCCCTTGAAAAGTTCCGGTAACTTTTCTCTGCACCTTCTCAAAGATCTTCAGATCATCAGATCTGGATGTAATACTTTAGATGTGGTAGAACTACTGAGCCTTCTTTTAAGGTTCAGCATAACTTCCCTGCTTCTGTGCTCAATACCTCAAACTATGAAGCCGATGATAACATATGCTTTACTAACTACTAATGCTCTTCCCTTTTCAAAGTCTATGCACATGCACCTGTGTCGCTGCATGTTCTAAAGAAGTGTGCCATTATATCTTATTGCCTATCACTATTCCTTCTGTCAAAATATACAAGCTCATACTTTGTGCTAAATTCATCTGTCATTTGCCTACCCATTATGTCCTGGTGCAGTGCAATGATGTTAACCTCACTGTCTACAACATCTCTAAGTTAATATTATTAGCAAATTTTGAAACTTGACTCTGGAATCCAATATCCACAAAGTATTTTTTTTTCTAATCACTATTCAAGCACTCTTGTGCAATACCATTGTCTCCCATTCCTATATGAAAAATAGCAATTTATCACAGCTGGCAGTTTTCTGTTCTTAAGCCAATATTTTTATCCAAGTGATGCTGACCCTCTTATTATATGAGCTTCAATTTTGTTAGACATCCTTTTATGCTGTAATAGTATGGAATTTGGTGAATAATAATTTCATAAAACACATCAGTATAACTTTCTAATTCTAATGGATAGATTTCATAGAATCATAACTGTGTGGCAACAGGCTGTTCGGCCTGTCAAGTACACACTGGCCTTGCAAAGAGACCTGCCCAGCACCCCCTGCCACTTCCCATCGCTAATCTATCTAGCTTGCATGTCCCTGGACACTGTGGGCAATTTAGTACAGCCAATCTACCTAACCTGCATTTTTTGGACAGTGGGAGGAAATGGGAGCACCTGGAGGAAACCTGTGCAGATGCAGGGAGAATGTACAAACTCCACACAGTCCGTTGCCTGAGGGTGGATTTGAACCTGGGTCTTTAGTGCTGTGAGGCAGCAGTGCTAACCACTGAGCCACCATGCCACCCTAACTCTTTTGCAACAGTGCTATTAAATCAAGTATTCAAACAGTGTTGAGACATAAGTTTGTAATACCTTTCTCTATTTTAATAAGTCATTTGAAATAATCATCAAGTTAGGAAATCAAATACTTTTTTTTGTGAAATGATGCTTTTCTTTTGCTAGGATGAACTGATTTACATGCTGCGAAAACTTCTGCTAAATATTGGAGACATGCCAGCTCAGACCTCCCACATTCTCTTCAACTACCTGGTAAGCTTTGCCGCTACATTGTGTCACATTAAATGGAGGGAAGGGAGTTTTATGGAGATAAAACTAGGTATACGGTAAATGGAAAAGCCCTGGGGAAAATTGATACACAGAGAGATCTGGGTGTTCAGGTCCATTGTACCCTGAAGGTGGCAATTCAGGTCGATAGAGTGGTCAAGAAGGCATACGGCATGCTTTCATTCATCGGACGGGGTATTGAGTACAAGAGTTGGCAGGTCATATTACAGTTGTATAGGACTTTAGTTCGACCACATTTGGAATACTGCGTACAGTTCTGGTCGCCACATTACCAAAAGGATGTGGATGCTTTGGAGAGGGTGCAGAGGAGGTTCACCAGGATGTTGCCTGGTATGGAGGGCGCTAGCTATGAAGAGAGGTTGAGTAGATTAGGATTATTTACATTAGAAAGACGGAGGTTGAGGGGGGACCTGATTAAGGTCTACAAAATCATGAGAGGTATATACAGGGTGGATAGCAAGAAGCTTTCTCCCAGAGTGGGGGACTCAATTACTAGGGCTCACGATTTCAAGGTGAGAGGGGAAAAGTTTAAGGGAGATATGCATGGAAAGTTCTTTACGCAGAGGGTGGTGGGTGCTTGGAACGTGTTGCCAGCGGAGGTGGTAGAGGCGGGCACGATAGCATCATTTAAGATGTATCTAGACAGATACCTAAATGGGCAGAGAGCAGAGGGATACAGACCCTTGGAAAATAGGCGACAGGTTTAGATAGAGGATCTGGATCGGCGCAGGCTTGGAGGGCCGAAGGGCCTGTTCCTGTGCTGTAATTTTCTTTGTTCTTTGTTCTTTGTTCTATAACAAGAGTCTTGATCACCATCTGGAGAGCCAGTGAAAGTCCAGTTTTGCTTTTCCTGGGAAGGCTTACTGTATTAATGCCAAACAAGAGGTTAGATGTCAGCAGTGGGATGAAGAATCCTGGGCTGGCAGAAATATTGCGCCCTGAAAGCCAGTGGCCAGGGGCTTGTAACTCTTTAGCTCGGCAACACCACTGAGGATAGGATAGCTGCTGCAGAAAAGATATCCAGCTGAGGCCCAGATCTTCACTGAAACCCTGGAATTGGATAGCAGGAGGTGTTTCCTGGGTGCGGGACAGATGTTGGGGATGTTTCTGTAGAGGTAGAGTGTGGAGGGACGGTGGGGGTGGTGTAGATGGTGTTCAGAGTGACTCTGAAGGCAAGAGTGAATCTCGCAGTATTTCTCTCACAACCCTCCCAATCTCACCCTCCTCCTGCTTCCAAATGCTGCATGTGTCTTGATCAAGGGGATTCTCCCTCGTCATTACTCCACAAACAACCTGCACAGGTTTGTCCATACTTCGCAGGAGATAGCTGGAGTCTTGACCACCATTCCTGATTCTTGATCCCACTGCTCACCTCTAACCTCTTGATTGGCATGTAACACAGTAAGCCTTCCCAGGAAAAGTAACACGGGTCTCTCACTGGCTCTCCAAATGGTGGTCAAGACTCCTGTTATCTCCATAACAGGCCTGTATGTCGCAGACTTAATATCAGTGAATGTGGTTTGGGCACTTATTTGGGCATCAGTTACCACCTTGGAGCATCAATTGGCGATTGGGTAGGAAGGCCATTCACAGACTGAAGTAATTGGGGTGGAGACAGGAAGTTAGCATGGACCCCACTTGCCAACATCCCATCTAACTAAATACTCTTCCTTTCTCCGAACCTCCGAGATGCAACGCATGAAACACCAACCATCATGGCTTGTGGTTTTAACTTGCTTTAAAATGTTTTTTTACCCATTGCATGTAAAAGCACCAACACAATTTTGTGTGTGAGATGGGGGAGCAGGTAGGAGCCTGAGCATATGTTGGGCACTCCCTAATTTTGATTGTGCAGATTGGTGTTAAAGAAAAAAACTGAAATATACTGTTGGTCTGCGACATTTTTATGTTGTGTTTCAGGTTGGTCTGATCATGTACTTTGTCCGCACCCCTTGTGAATGGGGCATGGATGCAATCTCAGCCACTGTCACCTTTCTATGGGAGGTTGTTGGTTATGTTGAAGGGCTTTTCTTCAAAGACCTAAAACAGACAATGAAAAAGGAACAGTGTGAAGTCAAACTGCTGGTTACAGCCTCTATGCCAGGTAAGAACACAACTGGCTCAGAAAACATTCACTAGGATGATCCCCGGCATGAAGGGATTACCTTATGAGCAAAGGCTAACCAGGTTGGGACTGTACTCTTTGGAGTTTAGAAGAATAAGAGGTGATTTCCTTGAAACATATAGGATTATTAAGTGGCTTGTCAGAGTAAATGCTAAGTGTATGTTTTCCCTCATGGGCAAGTCTAGTCTCAGAATAAAGAGGTGCCAATTTAAGGCTGAGATGAGGAGGAATTTCTTCTCTTAGAGGGCTGAGAGTCCTTGTCCAAGAGAGCTGTGGGGACAAAATCTTTGGGTATGTTTAATGCTGAGATAGATTCTTGATCAGTAGGGGGTTCGAGACGAATGGGGAAAATGCAGGAAAGTGAACATGAGGAATGTCAGATCAACCATGGTCCGACTGAATGCTGGAGCAGGCTTGAGAGGCTGGATAATCTTTTATTGTTCCTATTTCTTATGGCTACCAAGGGCTGCACTAAACATTGATGAATTTTTGGATCCACATTCCTACTTGTTTCCAACTATGATCAATTATTTTCATCATTTATGTGAATCCATTGAAGTTTTTGAAAGCAAGTACCTGTTTAGTGCAAACTGCAATTTAACCCTAAATTGTGATTCGGTTGATAATATATTGAGCGAGTTGCTAGTTTTTTTTTCTCTCTGTATCACTATCACTTCTGAAATGTGAAAAAAATATTTACATCAAAAAAAAGTATTGGATCAAGCTTTGTGTCGAACTGGCAAATGAAAAGCTTAAGATTGATCAGGAGTAAAGTATTATCTCACATCAGATTTATTACACTTGAAGCACTTGAAGTTTATTTATTTTGTTTTTATTCAAGTTGAAATTTGGGCAGAAAATTGTAGGCTTGTTAATCTGGTCTGAATCAGTTCCCTTCTTTTTAACAGCAACAATTTTTAAATTTTTTTTAGCACACAACTGTCGCAGTTCATATAAAATTTAGTTAAATCAAAATGAAGGAGCCAGTTCTGAGGTTTTTTGCATCAAAGAAAGAAGAAGCTTATTACCTGCTAATTGAAAAAAAAAGAAATACTAAGACATGGCATCAAACATAGTCAAACACAGGAAACAAGTCTAAAAAGAAAGGGTGACTGTATCTAATATGGATAGGAAGATAAGTAGAGATTTAGTTTAAATTTAATAGAGTTCAGAGGTTATGAGAATGAAACCTGAATCTGTACCTGTTTAGCAGTTATCTTGCTTCGTCAGCAGTAATGAAATTTGTAAAAATCATGTGATTCTCTGTTTGTAGTTGTTTTCTCAAGTTGCTTTTTCACTGGGTGCTGATTTCAGAAAACAAGAGAAACAGGGAGAGAGAGAGAGAGAGAGAGCAAGCTTTACAATTTCTGATGTTATGAATCCTTGTTCTTCTTTCTCTGCACTGCCAAGCATGTTACTGGAATATGGTTTGTTTGAATATTCCTGAGTCTAGCTCTATTGTCTTTCCATGCTGAAATTCTGCAGATAACCTTTCATCTCCCAATATGTGAACTTATCAATCAAGTGTGAATTAAACAAGAAGTGCAAATTTCTTGACACTGATTTCGTTGTCTGGTTTCAATAGCTGTACATGAAATGGCAATTTCAACACAGCATATTCTTAAAAATAACTTCATGGTTTTTAAATGAAGATGAAGGGAGTTAAATATCAAGAGATCATGTTTATGATAATTGTAACAATTTCAATGACCCAACCTCCACTGCTCTCGAGGGAAGACAATTCCACAGACTAAAACTGCCTGTTTTTATTTTGGTAGTCACTCTATTTTCTTTCTAGAGCTAGCCAGTTTCCAAAATAGACCTCTCAAATTTCAAATCTAATGTTGATCTTGTTTTTGCATACCTCCTGTGCCTCGCTGTATTGAATCACCCTATGATTTGTATGTCCTTGTATGTCACGGTCTGCCTGTACTGCATGCAAAACAAAATATTTCACTATACTTAGGTACACGTAACAACAAGAAATCAAATCAAATCAAATCAAAGATGTTGAAGTATTGAAAAGCTGGAAGAAAAAAGAGTACGGCTGACTCCTTGTGATAAATGTCTTCACAGCATTACATATTTAGCAGGAGTGTTTTCTCCAGGCCCAATAAGCTGACCAGTAATCCTCCCCACTCTGCTGCCCGCCTCCACTAAAACTGCCCCCCAACATCAAACCACTATTTGCCTTCCTGACAAATCTTCTGCACCCTATCCCCACCACCATTGGACCCTCATTGTGCACTGCTTCGATATGGATTTCATCATCACAATCCTTCTCCCTCACCCCCATCCCCAACCTGTTGGAGTAGCCTATGGTAATGTGAAACAGATGAAATTGTGGAATAGATGCATTTTTAGATTCTAAAGGCATCAAGTGTTTGTTGGGAGAAAGCGGGAATATGGCATTGAGATCGAGCTTCAGCCATGAGTGGCAGCAGATGCTTGAAGGGCCAAACAATCTACTGTCATTCCTAGTTTCTTTCATTCTAAAAGTCTCCAGACGGTGGATGAGGACACCACAGAGAAATATAATGGAATGCTGTGGTTAAATTCTGCAGTAATTTGAATTTCCTGACATGGCAACAATACCCCTGTCCACTACAATGAATTGGCTCCTTCATTTTGATTTAACTCCATGCTGAAGTCGTGATGTTGGAGTGCTCCTCCTCCCCTGCTCAGATAGAATCTGCAGATGCTTATGCAACAATCATTCTGTCAGTCAAATCTCAGAGTCAGAGACAATGTCTTGCATAGCCCTCCCCTGTATCATTGATGATCCTTGACAGATTTGTGAGAATTGCAGTGTCACCCCATAAGTACTTGTTCTCCACAATACTCTGACTGGGATGAGGTGCTATCTTTTAAGGAAAGATTGAACAGGTAGAACCTGTAACCACTGGAGTTCAGTAAAATGTGTGCTGATTTTATTGAAACATATAAGATCCTGAGGGGACTTGTCAAAATGTATGCTGAAAGGGTATTTCTCTTTGTGGGAGTCACTGGAGCTAGGAGAAACAGTTTAAAAATAAGGAAAGGGAGATGCAGATAAATTCTTTCTCTCAGGGTATTGTGAACTTGTGGAACACTCTTCCCCAAAGAGCAGTGGTGGCAGAGTAAGATTCTTTGCTAAAAAAAAGGACACAAAATATAATGGAGATAGGCAGGAATACAGAGTGAAGGCCTAAATTGGATCTGTTTTGATGGACCAAATGGCCTACTCCTCCTAATTTATATGTTTGTACGTTTTCTGGAAAATTAATTGTTATGATGGGGACAGGCAGCATCTCTGTTAGAACTGGGATGTGAAAGAGTTAGCATTATGTCAATAAAAATTACTACATAAAATTTTATAAAGGGTACAAATCACTGTCTGTGGGTTTGTACGCATCAGGTCACATGAGTGTTAAATGTACGATGCAAAAAAGCTGATGAGTTTGATTTGTCTTTTTGATTTCGTAGTTGATTGACATACCGTTGACATAATGTTGAAATGTTGACATAATTAGTTTAGAGAACAGTTTAAATGTAGGACCTCATTGTCACCCCAGGTACAAAGACTTTAGTTGTCCATGGACAAAATGAATGTGATATTCCAACGCAACTTCCTGTCCATGAGGATACACAGTTTGAAGCTGTTCTTAAGGTAAAAAGACAGCATTTTTTATTTGAGTAGTTTATTTTTCTCTGGTGACTTAACATTTTAATATTGTTGACTTTATTTGGCATCAATATAAGATTGTTAATATGCCATATAATGAATACCTACTGTGTGTTTGTCCTTTCTAAGGCCATGTCTGTTACTAAGATACATTGTTGAAAGCATGCCTGTTAATATGTTTACTTCATCAACATAAAATATCTTTTATGTGTTGTTTCTAACTCTGTATATTAATCATTTATTTCTTCCTGACGTGTACTTATGTCAACATTTATCGGTCGTTCAATTCTACTCTGTCAAATGTTTAAGAACAGCTTCTGTTTTCACTTGGTGTTTCTATGCTTTATGTCTGACATAATGACATTTAAAAAATCGCAGTTTCCACCTCTGTGAATGTTAAAAGCCCTTCTGAAAGCCATTGTGAGGCCAAAGATAGTGTGTGGCTCTGAAAGCTGGGTTCTCAAGCGATAATGAGGCTTGGTAAGGAAAGACAGTTTCACAACAGGATCATTGTGACCCTTATGAATTTTTTAGGGAAATTGTTGGTACTTGTCAGGGTCAACATGGCTAGCTATATAATTCCAGATTTTATTAATTAAATATAAATTTGTCCAGCTGCCATGATGAGATTGGAGCCTGTATTCCAAAAGCTAAATTATTAGTCCAATAACAGTACCACCATAGTAACTCCTCGAATCACTCCTCCTTTTACCCATAGCCCTGCAATTTTGCCTTTTCAGATAATAATTCAATTCCAAAATCTTTGCTGCATGCTTTCTAATACCTTTGTATTCTTCCTGAAGTGTAGTGCCCAGAATTGGATGCAATATTTTAGTTAAGCCAAATCAATGTTTTCTGCATAACATCCTTGCTATGTCTCTACTAACAAAGTCTAGGACATTGTATTTTTGAATAACTGATTTCTCAACATGTATTGTTACTTTCAATGATTGTGCACCTATACACCCAGGTCCCTCTACTCTTGTATCCTCTTTAGAGTAGTATCCTTTACTTTACATTGAATCCCCATGGTCTTCCTACTAAACTGAATGACTAATTATGGTGGCTCAGTGGTTAGCGATTGCCTCAGCACGAAGGACCTGAGTTTAATTCCAAACTCCAGCAATTGTCTTCATGGAGTTTGCACATTCCTCCCATTTCTGCCTGGGCTTCCTCCGTGGATTGGGTGAATTAACCATGCTGAATTGCCCACAGTATCCAAGGAAGTGCAGGCTCTGTTGGTCAGCCAGGAGAAATGCAAGGTTGCAGGGATAGTGTGGGGTTGGGTAGGGTGTTCTTTGGAGGGTTAGTGTGGACTCTATATCTGAATGGCCTGCTTCCGTACTGTAGGGATTCTATGATAACTAAATTAAACAAATTAAATTTAATCTGCTACTTCCTCAACTATTTCACCAACCTATTCATGTATTTTTGAAGTTTATACTCATCCTCCTTGCAGTTTGCAATGCTTCCAACTTTTGAGTCAGCCACAAATTTTAAAATTAGGCAACATATAGATGGGTACCCTAAAATATCTGGATGAAAAGAATACCTCTCCAATGTATTTTCTGTTATATTTATCACAAGTATTTTGGAACCCAGGAATACTCATTGTCACTGGCATCTTATGGAATTATTGAATAACAACAGAGGCTATTTGTTCTGTGCTGGCTCTTTTTAGATTCATACAGTCAAGACAGCATGGAAACAGACCCTCCCGTCCAACCACTCCATGCCGACCAAGTTTCCCGAACTAAACTAATACCACTTGCCTACGTTTGGTTCATATCCCTCTAAATCTTTTCTATTCATGAACCTATCCAAATGTCTTTTAAATGTTGTAACTGTACCTACATCTAACACTTCTTCTGGCAAATTATTCCAAATATGAACCACCCTCTGTATGAAAATGTTGCCCTTAGCAAAGAATTTCAGCTGAACGCCTCCTGCACCTCCCCCATATGTTTCCTTCATGCATCATGTATTTGTTGCTCCCTGAATTAAGTTATCTAATTCCTTTTAGAATGTTACTGTACGTATTTGTGTCTAATTTGCATCCAACACTCGTCAGGCAATGTATCCTAATCATAACCATTCATTGCACGAAACATTTTCCCTCATGTTGACACTGGTTCTTTTGCCAATCAAAGAACAGGCTGATTTTTATTTTGCTACTGAGGCAAGTAGTTTAAGTTGAAAAATTACCACGATTTCATGATTTTCACTCCAAGGCAATAGCTGTCGTGTGCCACCCGGGGCTGTTTAAAAGGGCCGTGGGCCAATTCGGACTCTGTATTTACTGGGACTTCATCCAATTGTTTTGTCACACATTAGCTCCCACCTCCCACTTCTGCCCATACACGGCAACACGGTCCAATTTATGACCTCCGCCATCCCAAACTCCAACCAGTACTTAATGACAAGTTAGTGCCAACACATGTCTTAAATCATCATGTCCTGCACTGACATTTTCCATGCTAGTTCACCCAGTATTCATTATGGGCTGAGATGAAACAAAATAAAATCTTAAGCGTCTAATACAGATTTCACTATACAAAAGCACTCATTCACAAAAGCCCATGCAATACATTAAAATTCCACCTACATAATACCTTATCAAAACAAACAATTGTGTACATGACCTCGCATCAAAGACAAGTAATCCTTTAATCATCTCTTTGAGCTGTCAGTCAAACTGTGAACTGACAACACGGTCCAACCAAATAATGATAATATTTGGTTGTGGAGAACAACCAAGTATTAATGACACTTCAGGTTATATCTGACATCAGCTATTGCAATATTGAGATCAGATTTTATTCATCCGCAGGCATAGGCCACCAGTTTTTATTTTGAATTTTTAAAAGGGGGAGACATTAAAATTATTTGACAGTTTTACTGACCATAAATACCTCCAAGAACATTTAGGACCCTTCTAATGATTTGTAACTTCCACTAAGGAACGTCCCTTGCTGCAATGAAAAGTGAGTCTGGGTAGACTCAGCACTGACCTCAGATAGAGAGAGCCAGTAGGAACTGCCGATGCTGGAGAATCTGAGATAACAAGGTGTAGAGCTAGGCCAAGCAGCATCAGAGGAGCAGGAAAGCTTCTCCAGAAAGGGTCCAGACCCGAAACGTCAACTTTCCTGCTCCTCTGATGCTGCTTGGCCTGCTGGGCCAAGCAGCATCAGAGGAGCAGGAAAGCTTCTCCAGAAAGGGTCCAGACCCGAAACGTCAACTTTCCTGCTCCTCTGTTGCTGCTTGGCCTGCTGTGTTCATCTAGCTCTACATCTTGTTATCTCAGATTCTCCAGCATCTGCAGTTCCTACTGGCTCTCTCTATCTGAGGTCAGCGCTGAGTCTACCCAGACTCACTTTTCATTGCAGCAAGGGACGTTCCTTAGTGGAAGTTACAAATCATTAGAAGGGTCCTAAATGTTCTTGGAGGTATTTATGGTCAGTAAAACTGTCAAATAATTTTAATGTCTCCCCCTTTTAAAAATTCAAAATAAAAACTGGTGGCCTATGTCTGCGGATGAATAAAATCTGATCTCAATATTGCAATAGCTGATGTCAGATATACAAGCTCTACACCTTGTTATACTGAGTTCAGATAGCCTGGTTGAGATTGAATTTCCCATTTGTCGGTGTCTCTTCTGGCCCCTTTTCCTTTTGCCTGTTAAACCCTACCCCATGCCCGGCAAATTTAGGATCTGTCAGAAATAGGGTGAAGATCTCAGGATCACCGTCCCACTTGCTATTTTTAAAAGTCCCTGGAATCTTCATGAATCTTGGAAATCTGTTCCAACAAGTCAATTTTGAAGGATGAACAGGTTCCCGGAATGAATCTTTTTGCATTTAATCACGTGAACAAAGATGCCATTCTTGAAGCAGTTAAAAATGCTACTTTTAGTTGAGAGTGTCAGATGCTTCCTTGTCCCCATACTCTGTCCACCTCCACCCCACAATCCCTTCACCAGAATAGACCAGGGCACCTGCTAAAATTATTTAAGTGACTCTGAGCCAGAAATCCAACTGAGGCTCAGAATGCATCATTATGATAGGCAGGGATCCTACCTTGACATGGAATTACCCAATTCTACAGTAGCACAACATTTCAGTCAACTTGTCATTCAATAAAAAAAAACTCTGGCATTAAAAAAAATGAGAATTTTTAAAAGTTTTTTTAACTTACTATCATTTCTCAGAGCATTCATTCATTATTATCATCATTGATTACCGATCCGTGGCACAACAGAATCTGTTACCATTTTTGTGCAACTTAATTGCTTGATCAGATAAAGTGTATCATTACCTATTTTGCACAAATGGAAAGAGTAGTTTATTGTTAGTGATAAAATCTATTCTTTGATGACTGCCTTTGTATTGCAGTGTATTTGATATAGTCCCGTGCTGTTGTATGTTTGTCACATAAATCAGACAAATTAACAAGGTAGCACATTGCAAACTTAGAAAGCATTCACCGTTTTGTCTTTGCCTCTAGTTTGTATGGGTTCCCATTACTGAATTTGTTGCATTATTTCTTTCTAGGAATGCTTGGAATTTTTTAATATTCCTGAAGCTCAGTCAAACCATTACTTTTTGATGGATAAGCGTTGGAATCTGATACATTATGCGAAAGTAAGACACTGAACTATTGTGTATCACAAATGTTAGACACAATGTCCTGATTCAGTTTGAGGAAAGACATGGAAGAGAGAAAAATGACTCTCAAATTTTACAAATTGAATCAGCCAAACATTTAACACTGTTATAATTTGTGTCCTACATGTCATAAGGTTTATCTGAAAAACAGGAACTAAATTTGACATCAAGTCCATTTTGAGATAGCAAAGACAAATGTGAGTAATTAAATTTTGTCACAGCTTTTTGTTCTGTACTCATCAAGACAATTTCTAAGAAATACCAACAAAAAGGAAAACAACATTTAAGCTGCCATAGGAGAAGAAGACTGGTTGACTATCAATATTGAGGGAGTTACCATTGATCAAAAACTGGACTGGACCAGCAATAAGATCATAAGACATAGGAGCAGAAATTAGGTCATTCGGCCATCGAGTCTGCTCCGCCATTCAATCGTGGCTGATAAGTTCCTCAACCCCATTCTCCTGCTTTCTCCCCGTAACCCTTGATCCCCTTGATAATCAAGAACCTATCTATCTCAGTCTTAAATGTACTCAATGACCTGGCCTCCCCAGCCTTCTGTGGCAGTGAATTCCATAGATTCACCACGCTCTGGTTGAAGAAGTTTCTCCTTATCTCCATTGTAAAATGTCTTCCCTTTACTCTAAGGCTATGCCCTCGGGTCCTAGACACTCCTACTAATGGAAGCATCTTCCCAACATCCATTTTGTCAGGCCATTCAGTATTCTGAAAGTTTCAATTAGATCCCCCCTCATCCTTCTAAACTCCAATGAGTATAGTCCAGAGTCCTTAAACGTTCCTCATATGTTAAGCTTTTCATTCCGGGGACCATTCCCGTGATCCTCCTCTGAACCTGCTCCAGGGCCAGTACATCTTTCCTGAGATATGGGGCCCAAAGCTGCACACAATACTCCAAATGTGGCCTGACTAGAGCCTTATAAAGCCTCAGTAGTACATCCCTGCTTTTATTTCAAGTCCTCTTAAAATAAATGCCAACATTGCATTTGCCTTCCTGACTACTGACTCAACCTGCAAGTTTACTTTGAGAGAATCCTGGACTAGAACTCCCAAGTCTCTTTGTACTTCAGACTTCTGAATTTTCTCCCCATTTAGAAAATAAATACTGTAGCCACAGTAGCAGTTCAGAGGCCAGGAGTCCTGCAACAAGTGACTCTACTCCTGACTCCTCTTAGCCTGTCTCAGAGGCACAGGTAAGGAGAGTGATGAAAGACTCCCCACTTGTCTGAATAAGTGCATCTCCAAAAGTACTCCAAAGCCTGATGGCTTCCAGGACTCAGCAGCCCACCTGATTGGCACCACATTCATATTCTTCACTCCTTCCACCACCAGTGCTCAGTAACAGCAGTGTATACCATCTACACGATGCATTGCAGAAATTCAGAAAGATCTCTTAAACAGCACTGTCCAAACCCATGAATATTACATCTAGAAGGACAAGGGCAGCAGATATTTGGGAATACCACCACTTGCAAGTTCTGCTCCAAGTCACTCACCATGCTGGCTTTGAAATCTGTCACCATTCTTTCAGTGCTTGATGGATCAGAATCCTGGAATTCCCTCCCTAACAGCATTGTGGTTTTACCAACAGGAAATGGACTGCAGCAGTTCAAGATGTTTGAACACCATGTCCTTCTCAAAGGCAATTAGAGATGGGCAAAAATTGCTGGCCCAACCAATGAAGCCCACATCCCCTGAATGAGTATTAGAAAGTGGACATTGATTAGTACAGGCATTGCCATGGAGAATGCTGTGCTAAGATAACTACCATAGATACGGGATATTCTCTGAGTGTATGTCTCAAATCTTCAACATACACCGTATGTGGTCACAGTCAATGAGCATGTTCTGAATATTGTGGCTCGTCTCTTGTTACAGACTTATGTACGAGATATTTATCCATTTCGGCGATCTGTCTCACCACAGTTGAACCTTGTCCATATGCTTCCTGCAAAAGGGCAAGAGCTGATCCAGAAACAGGTGAGGAGAGAGATATTTGAGATTTAACCTCTGGTCCTTAGCACACAAATCATGTTAAATAGCACATATTTTTCACAAATGTACTTTATTTATACACAGCCTTTGAAGGTGAAGTCTTTCAGAAGCTCCATGTGAGGAGGGCTGTTCCTAATACAAATAATTAGGACATGTCAGCAAGGTTTTTTTGCTGCAAATGATCCCGTTTGCATCTTCCTCTTGACTGACAAAATGTTATTCCCAGATTGGAAGAGGGGGAGTTTGGATGGAAGAAGTGGTTGAATGTCATCTTGATCTGTGTGACCAAATGGGCATTAATGTTTCATGGTTACTTTGGTATACTTCCTTTATTGTAGTACAATATAGATTAATTCTGAAGAATTTACTAGTGAAACAGTGAGTCAGCAGTTCACTTTTAAGGTAATGCCACGAATGGCATGCTGTAGAGGCTTCTGTGAGGAAAGTGATCTTCACTTGGCATGTCTGTTAGCCTGAGATAATAGCATCCCTCTCCGTGCACATAGTTTTTCAGTGACATCAGAAAATGAAGGCAAATCCAAAGGAACCTGCTGCCTGAGCATCATCTTATGCTGCATTGTTACTGTTGCTCCATCACATTGCAGTCGATTATTTAAAAGTCTTTTAATTGCCATTTATTGCGCAATTCTGTGTACATGAAACTGAAGGTTTCGAGCAGCTCTGCGTCTTCCCACACCAGCTGACAGAGAAACAGCATCATCAGCTTCTCCCGAACAAGGTCTTTCAATGTTTTGAGAACTGTATTCCACATGAATGGCCCTTCCAGTTGCTGGTTCTTGTAATAGGTTAAAACGTAGTATGTATCACATACATGGCTACTGAAGCCAAATCAGTCTCACATTTAGAAGGGAATGTGGAGCCAGCATGGTCTTAATGTTTCCTTTTTGCTGGTTTTTCAGTGATTCAGTGATGCACGCCATGGTCAAAGAGTAAAGTTTTACCAAACTGGATTTTGAAAGCACATGTTAATCTCTCAAGATCGTAAACTTATTTTCTAAAATAGGTGTTTACTCGGAAGCTGGAGGAGCTCGGTCGGGTGATGTTTCTGATGTCTCTTACTCAGCACATGCCTTCCGTACACAAACAATCACATGTATCCTTGTTGCAAGAGGATCTTCTGAGACTTCCATCATTTCCTCGAAATGCAGTTGATGCAGAATTTTCACTGTTCGCTGACCATCAAGGTACATGACTTTTTCACCAGATGTCGAAATTTTTAAACTGAATGCTTTCAAGTGACCTCATAACAGTGTGAATTTTCGTGGGATCAGAAGGGCACCACGCCTTATCCAAAATGGCTTCTGAAATTTTTCTGACACATGGACCCAAAAATTCAACAATTGTTGGTTGTAACAAAGAACTACCTGCCTGGGGAAATGCTGCTCAAACATCCATGCCTATGGTATGACTTTGGGCCAACTGTCCCATCAAACCACTGTAGCTCACCCAGTATCTGCCTTCAGCAGAGACCAGTGAGGGTCACGATCACCGTCTGTGGAAGTCCAAGGATAACAGTGGCCCAGATTATTTCTTTAAGAAGATACAACATCATTAAAATGGGAATCAGAGCCCTCGATCACAATCTGTATCTTAAAAAAAGCCTACTCCCTGAAATTGGCAACTCTTTCAGGCATCAAGCTGCTTTCAAAATATCACTGCCTCCTCGATCAGTGTTAAGAAAGCAGGAAGGCAAAAGCCCCCACTTTGAAGGGATTAACTCTGGTGATGGAAGTGAAAGCTGATACAACTGTGCCAGAGGGAGATACAAGCCACAGCGCTTTATTTTCAAATTTCAGGCTCGCACATTATGCCGCATACTCCAAAATATGATTGTACCAGATGGATTATGTTGTATTAATGTGGAGTATATCTTGATTTTTTTCTGCCCTTCCTGTTTTATTCCCAGGCAGGAATTGATATCTCTTCATAGTTTTGGCTTTTACAAACCAGAGGAAAAGATGTTCTTTATTTGCAGCACCCAAAAATGACATTAAAAAGAAATCAATGCAGTCCTTTGAGCAGTTGGGGCAGAATGTTGGATTCCAGTCAGAAGGGGGTCCAGAGATGGGAAGGCCTGGAAATTGGGAGAGCAGCAGTTGCAAAGCCGACACATCTACGTCACTAAATGATTTTTGGTCTGTGCGGAATGGGAGGGGGAGTGAGTGGTAGGTGGCCTACTTAGCCAATTAAGTAACCTATTAATGCTGCTCAGCAGAACTGACCAGACATTTAGCTGACCCCCAAATCTGGGAGCAAAGCACGTGCAGGGGCTGGAGGCAGTAGACAGTGGGTGAGAGATCAGTACTCCATCCTGCTAGGGGATTCCACTTTGCAATTAACAGCGCTCTTGTGCTGAGGCTGATAGACATCAATAGAGGGATTGTCTCCTACAATCCAGCCTGTCACCTTTGTGAATTACAAATTCTTACCTTGTAATCAAAGCGTTTTCCACGTTCAAGCACCTTCCTTTCTTGCACACCCAAAGATCCTCTCCCCTCTACCCCCCACCCTTCTGGATTGTGGGTCTGTCGATATGCCATTGTTGGACAGCCTCCTATTGGCCCTCATTCCTCAGCAGCTTGCTTGGATAATGAGCTCACTCCAAGACCATCCTACATTGCATTAGATGCCAGATGCCAAGTTGGGGTCAGGACGACCAGAAGTTCACAGCCCCAAAGCAAAAATACCTCCCCTAGCCGGAAACAGAAGAGAACTCTCGCCATGTGAGCAGTCAGTAGGAGTTATGCTGGTCTCTATATTATTTAAATGTTTAAGATTCACTGACATTATATCTCATTCAGAGAATGAGAGTGTGGGAAACCCAGGGCAAATCACACTCTGCAATTCCAGCCCTAGCTTTCAGTTCCTGTCAGCTGTCTGTGATCCCAGTATGGGGCCCACAAAATGCAGGGCTCAGAAAAGTCACTCTGAATCGTCTGGGGCTGATTCTGCCCTCATTGCAGGGCTTAATGCTTTCTAATGTAATCACCCTGTTCAGATGTGTTATTGTACACCTCTGGAGCAATTGGGACTTGAACTTGGACCTCTGGTTGAGAGATAGGAACACCACCACTGTGCCACAAGAGCCCACAGCTATGTTGTACAACTTGCGTTTTGTGCAGTCAATGCTTTTGTTCAACGATACAGTGACATGACCTACCACATGTTTATCTGTCTTCAATTTCATTTAAGTTCCTGGAATTACGAGATGGTTTGTAATAGTGGAGGTTTATGAACCACTTGTTTGTATTATCTAACATGTTTTTCTTTAATTGTAAACCACAGAATTACTTTCTGTAAATCAAAATAATAGTAATTATTTGCATATGTGTTGTATTTAAATGCCAATAGTTTGGGAAGAAATTATTGTAATTAATTGGCTGAAGTAGTAGCTTCCAGTTTTATGTTTCATGGATAGATGAAATTTTCCAGAATTTTTAATTAGGAATTATTTCAGAAGGTTACGGTAAAGTAGTCTTTAGGATGAGGTGCTAGACATCAAGGTGAAATCTTTTATTGTTTTTTCAGGCAAAGAATTATTTGGTCTTGATACCCTTCACAAGAGTATGTGGATCAAACTCTTGGAGGAGATGTTTTTGGGTATGCCCAGTGAATTTCCCTGGGGAGATGAGATAATGCTCTTCCTGAATGTGTTTAATGGGGCTTTAATCCTTCATCCTGAAGACAGTGCATTGCTTCGTCAATATGCAGCTACAGCTATCAATACTGCAGTGCACTTCAATCATCTCTTTTCACTGAGTGGCTATCAGTGGATCCTTCCTTCCATGCTTCAGGTAAGTTTATTTCAACAAGTACTAAGTGACCACTAGCCTTACTGGAATCAATAATTATTTGCAATTAATTGAGGTCTGAGTTTAGATATGTACGTCTGGTATTGGTGGGTTCAGGTCACCAGTACTTTTTCTCTCACCCTCCAACAGTTTAAATGTGGTTGAATAACTATGACTGTTCTGTGTAATTGATCAATTTTGCTCTTAGCATTTGTTGCAGCGGTATGGAATTCGAATCATATTTCTTAAAACAAAATTATCAAGTTGCTACCAGGCCTTAAAACTCATGTTGTTGAATACCTGCCTGTTGAGGGAGCTGAGTAACTCTCATTTCCATTGAATATTCTGGACCTTTTTTGTAAACAGTCAGTGGGTTCACAATGCTAGTTTTACACTTGGGCTGCAGACTGAATTCTTACTCCATTTTATTTCATCCTTCCCACTATTCCTTCAGTGGATTTAACCGGAGGCTAGAGACATCAAGAATTACTTGCTTTTATATAGTGTATTTAGTATACAAAACATCATAAAGTGCAATAAAAAATGAGGACATCGAGCCAATGCAGAAGACATTAGGATTGGAGTGGAGGGGGAAGAAACAAAAACTTGGTCAAAGAAGTGAGGTTTAAGCAGGATGTGCAGAGCAGATTAAGGAGTGTTTCCAGAGCGTAGGGCCCAGACGATATAAAGTGCGCTAATTTAGAAGAAAATGGGCTTATTAGTGATAGGCAGCATGGTTTTGTGCAGGGAAGGTCATGTCTTACCAACTTGATAGAATTCTTTGAGGAAGTGACAAAATTGATAGACGAAGGAAGGGCTGTAGATGTCATATACATGGACTTCAGTAAGGCGTTTGATAAGGTTCCCCATGGTAGGCTGATGGAGAAAGTGAAGTCGCATGGGGTCCAGGGTGTACTAGCGAGATGGATAGAGAACTGGCTGGGCAACAGGAGACAGAGAGTTGTAGTGGAAGGGAGTTTCTCAAAATGGAGAACTGTGACCAGTGGTGTTCCATAGGGATCCATGTTGGGACCACTGTTGTTTGTGATATATATAAATGAACTGGAGGAACGTATAGATGGTCTGATTAGCAAGTTTGCAGATGACACTAAGATTGGTGGAGTAGCAGATAGTGAAGGGGACTGTCAGAGAATGCAGCAGAATATAGATAGATCGGAGAGTTGGGCAGAGAAATGGCAGATGGAGCTCAATCCAGGCAAATGCGAGGTGGTGCATTTTGGAAGATCCAATTCAAGAGCGAACTATACGGTAAATGGAAAAGCCCTGGGGAAAATTGATGCACAGAGAGATCTGGGTGTTCAGGTCCATTGTACCCTGAAGGTGGCAATTCAGGTCGATAGAGTAGTCAAGAAGGCATACGGCATGCTTTCATTCATCGGACGGGGTATTGAGTACAAGAGTTGGCAGGTCATGTTACAGTTGTATAGGACTTTGGTTCAACCACATTTGGAATACTGCGTACAGTTCTGGTCGCCACATTACCAAAAGGATGTGGATGCTTTGGAGACGGTGCAGAGGAGGTTCACCAGGATGTTGCCTGGTATGGAGGGTGCTAGCTATGAAGAGAGGTTGAGTAGATTAGGATTATTTACATTAGAAAGACGGAGGTTGAGGGGGGACCTGATTGAGGTCTACAAAATCATGAGAGGTATAGGCAGGGTGGATAGTAAGAAGCTTTTTCCCAGAGTGGGGACTCAATTACTAGGGCTCACGATTTCAAGGTGAGAGGGGAAAAGTTTAAGGGAGATATGCGTGGAAAGTTCTTTACGCAGAGGGTGGTGGGTGCCTGGAACGCGTTGCCAGCGGAGGTGGTAGAGGCGGGCACGATAGCGTCATTTAAGATGTATCTGGACAGATACATGAATGGGCAGGGAGCAGAAGGATACAGATCCTTGGAAAATAGGCGACAGGTTTAGATAGAGGATCTGGATCGGCGCAGGCTTGGAGGGCCGAAGGGCCTGTTCCTGTGCTGTAATTTTCTTTGTTCTTTGTGCCAGTGGGAGGGAGAAGGAAGTGACTTCCATAAAAAGCTGGGATCAGAAGAAATTTTTACCAGTGATGATATTAAAAATCCTTTTGATCTGAAATGGTCATTGCTAGTGTAAAAACTTTTTGTTTTATTTTTATTTATCTTTGATTGTGGACCGAAATGGGAGAAGGATAGTTTTAAAACCAAAGATTTCAGAAGAAATTGCTGCACTTTTCAAAAGCAAGTTACTAAAACTCCTTATATGTTGTGCTTGCACTGTTGATTTGTTCAAGTAATAAGGGGGAATCTGTTTGTAGCTGGGCCGGCACCAGGGGTTATTTACAAAATGAGATTCAGCCGGCAATTGGTTTGTGGAGTTGTGACAAGTTGTGGATGACATCATGGTGGCAACAACTAATTGATTGGTTCCAAGGTAGCTGAATATCTTGAGTTTGTGAATGATACTGGCAGAGTCTTTGGTAACGAGAAGGTGGGGCGCCTTTCTGTCCAACAAATTACATAAAGCCTGAAAAAAGCTAATTTATTTCCTGTCATAACTTGCTGTAATCTGTGGCTCCTACCCAGTATCCAAGATAATTTGCAGTCAATGTACCAGTCACTCTGTGCCTCTTGTGCAGAAATCAAAACAACCCTATGAAGTGGGGCCATTGAACTGCTTTCCCAGTTATTTTTCTGCTTTGCCATAACACCAATGCTTTTGTCTCTCTGTAAATATGTGCAGGGAGTTTTAGAAGGGGTTAAGAGTTTTACTAGTGGAGTTGTATACATCACTCTTTACCTATGGTTAGAATCTATTTATTTATAACATGTTCTTCTTAAATTTGGTTTGTTCTTAAGTACAGAAACTTGATCCAGGCTTTCTATTAATTTAAGTCTGAAAGGCAGGTGAATTGGGAAGAAAACTTAAACTTTGATAATGAGGCTTGATCACCAGTGTGTAAAGCAGTGAGGTATAACAGTAGTAAATCCAACATTTGTTGCCCATCCCTAATTGCTGGGTGGGTCACATTGCCATTTCAAACAGCAGTTCAGACTCAACCACGTTGCTGTGGATCTGAGTAACATGTAGGTCAGACCAGCCAATGACCTAAAGGACATTAATAAACCAGCTGGAGTTTTAAAATAATTGATAGTTTCGTGGCCACGATTCTTGAGCTAGCTTTTAATTCCAGGTTTATTAATTGAATGTAACTTCCACCAGTCGCGTGGTGGGAATGTCATACATATCATTAGAGCACTAGTTTGGATCTCTGGATTATTAGTCTGGTGACATTACCACTATCCTACCATTTCCCACTTAAGATTACAAATCTCAAACCAGACCAAGGGAATAAGTATTTAAACACAAAAGTAAGAAAGTTAAATGTGAAATCTTTGTGGAACAGGAGCTGATGTTGGTTAGCAAGGAAAGGCTGATGCATAAGAAGGAGTTGATGGGGGTAAGGAGATAGTAGGAACTGAAAAGCTGACATTTCGGGCCTAGACCCTTCATCAGAAATGGGGGAGGGGAAGGGGGTTCTGAAATAAATAGGGAGAGAGGGGGAGGCGGATAGAAGATGGATAGAGGAGAAGATAGGTGGAGAGGAAACAGACAGGTCGAAGAGGCGGGGATGGAGCCAGTAAAGATGAGTGTAGGTGGGGAGTTAGGGAGCGGATAGGTCAGTCCAGGGAGGACGGACAGGTCAAGGGGGTGGGATGAGGTTAGTAGGTAGGAGATGGGCGTGCGGCTTGAGATGTGAGGAGGGGATAGGTGGGAGGAAGAACAAGTTAGGGAGGCGGGGACGAGCTGGACTGGTTTTGGGACGTGGTAGCAGGAGGGGAGATTTTGAAGCTTGTGAAATCCACATTGATACCATTGGGCTGCAGGGTTCCCAAGCGGAATATGAGTTGCTGTTCCTGCAACCTTCGGGTGGCATCGTTGTGGCACTGCAGGAGGCCCAGGATGGACATGTCGTCTGAGGAATGGGAGGGGGAGTTGAAATGGTTCGCGACTGGGAGGTGCAGTTGTTTATTGCGAACCGAGCGTAGGTGTTCCGCAAAGCGGTCCACGAACCTCCGCTTGGTTTCCCCGATGTAGAATAGGCCACAACGGGTACAGCGGATGCAGTATACCACATTGGCAGATGTGCAGGTGAACATCTGCTTGATGTGGAAAGTCTTCTTGGGCCTGGGATGGGGGTGAGGGAGGAGGTATGGAGGCAGGTGTAGCACTTCCTGCGGTTGCAGGGAAAAGTGCTGGGTGTGGTGGGGCTGGAGGGGAGTGTGGAGCGGACAAGGGAGTCACGGAGAGAGTGGTACCTCTGGAAAGCAGATAAGGGTGGGGAGGGAAAGATATCTTTGGTGGTGGGGTCGGATTGCAGATGGCGGAAGTGTTGGAGGATGACGCGTTGGATCCGGAGGTTGGTGGGGTGGTACGTGAGGACGAGGGGGATTCTTTTTTGGTTGTTATTGCAGGGACGGGGTGTGAGGGATGAGTTGCGGGAAATGTGGGAGGCACGGTTGAGGGCGTTCTCGACCACTGAGGGGGGGGAAGTTGCGGTCCTTAAAAAACAAGGACATCTGAGATGTATGGGAGTGGAATGCCTCAACCTGGGAGCAGATGCGGCAGAGGCGAAGGAGTTGGGAATAGGGGATGGCATTTTTGCAGGAAGACGGGTGGGAGGAGGTGTATTCTAGGTAGCTGTGGGAGTCGGTGGGCTTGAAATGGATATCGGTTTCTAGGTGGTTGCCCGAGATGGAGACAGAGAGGTCCAGGAAGGAGAGAGAGGTTTGCACCTTGTTGTCTCTTGATGTGGGTAAGGATCTGTGCAGTAGTGTTTTGTATGATCAGACGTTTAATGATAGATTGGGGGTGACTAACCAAGTAAATGTTGGAATAGTTCTGTCCGGAGGTAGTTTAACAAAGTATTGAACATGTGTTTCAGGGAATGTTGTTGGGGAGGTGGTGAGGTAGTGATGCGACAACATTGTGAAGATTGAAGGAGGTGCTTTT